CAAAATTAAGACAGACCAAAATGCGAAGAATGGGTTCACAACGTTTGAATCTGGTGGCATTCAGTCAGGAAGTCGAGATCTTGATGCTGAAGAGGTAGAGCGCTATGCTCTTGAGCACCCTGGTGAAACACCCAGAGATGAGGAGAAAACACAAGCAAGAGGTTCAAAGCACAGAGCAGAAGGTGAGCTAGAGGACAAGCCTGCCGATAAGTACATCTGCATCCCTCCATTGCCGCTTGGACTTGCCAATAATCTTCAGGAGATTAGCGCTGGCAGTGAACAAGTGTTGGATGACAGTGCAGTGGAGGAGCGTCGATCAAAGGCATCGAGGACAGATCGAACAGAGAGTCCAACTTCATTGTATGCCCCGCACTTTGCTGGAGGTGTGCAGGAGGTGAGAGACTTGGCAGTGGATGAGTTTCCTTGGGAGCAAGAGGTTGCTGACTTTGAGGCAGATGAGGTAGCGCCCTTCTTGGAGGAGTTGTTTTCAGATGAGGTAGTTGATGAAGGGACTCCACCGGAGGTGGGGCCAGAAGATTTTGCAAAGATTGAAGCAGCTGCTGGTCAAGAAGAAATCAATAGACTCCTTGACATGGGCGTGTTGGAAGAACCAATTTTGGAAGACCTGGCAGAAGGGAGCATTCTTACGACTCGTTCAGTTTTTGACTGGAGAGTGAGGAATGGAAGATGGAAGCGAAGATGCAGGTTCGTGGCAAGAGAGTTCAAAGGCCACGATCACACCACAGCAGAGACCTTTGCTCCTACTTCAAGCCTAGCAGCAACAAGATTGCTGTTGGCTACGCATGTGATCCTGCAGTGGAACTTGAGCTTCATTGACGTCAAAGATGCATTTTTGCTGGTTCCACAAACTCGCCTGGTGTTGGTTGAACAGCCATCATGGTGGAAACCCGAGGAGAACAAGAACGATGGTTCACGTCGATACTGGTGGCTTGCCAGGTGCCTACCAGGACAGAGAGATGCTGCCCTGAGGTGGTTTGATCACCTCAAAGATGCTCTTGAAGAACTTGGCATGGAAAACCATCTTTCCTTGCGTCACTTTTTCACCACAGAAAGAGAGCATTGGGCATTGTATGCCATGTTGATGACTTGATTGTTGCTGGTGCGTCAATCGACCTCAGTTGGTCTCTCGAGAAGATGAGAGGCAAGTTTGTCATCAGCGAGTCAGGCATTCTTCCACAGGTTGGTCAAGCTGAAGATGATCCTGTGCGATGTCTCAAGAAGAGGCACTTCTTTACGGCAGAAGGCATCATCATTTTGCCTCATGAGAAGTATGTCCCAAGCCTGGTAGAGTTGTACAACCTGGCATCGAGAGCGGGAAAAGCCACTCCAGAAAGCGCGCAACTTGACCTTGAAGGAGGAGAAGAAGATGTTTTGGCAGGTGGGGATCAACACAAGTTTCGATCAGCTTTGGGGACCCTACTCTACATCTCCCAGGATAGAGTGGATATTCAGCATTGTGTTCGCAACCTTAGCCAGTTTATGGCCAGTCCCACGAAGAGAGCTGAAGTTGAACTTCGACATTTGATCCTCTACCTCAAAAGGACAGAGAACTATGGAATCCTTCTCCCGTACACTAAGTATAAGAGCAAGAAAGCAGAGGTGTTGAGAGGTCAAGATGATTGTGGAGAGCAAGATGCTTTGGAAGTCTGGACAGACAGTGACTGGGCAGGAGACCGAAGTTCAAAGCAGAGGAGACGCCACAGTGTGAGCAGGGCGATGATCTTCCTGAATGGCTGCTTGATTGCTGCCTGGTCAAGATCTCAGAAGTCCATTGCCTTGTCATCATGCGAGGCAGAATTCCTGGCATCAGCTGGAGGAGCTGCAGAAGCTTTGCAACTCAAAGAGCTTTGGAAGTTTTTGAGCAAGAGAGAAGTGGCCATCACAGCCATCACAGATAGCTCTTCATGCAGGGCCTTTGCAGAGAGGCTTGGTGTAGGAAGATTGAAGCACATCGACGCCCGCTACTTGTGGATGCAACTCGAGGTGAAGAAGAAAAGCTTGAAGATGGAAGGCATTCCCACATTGTGGAACATGGCGGACCTTGGAACCAAAAGACTCTCGAGACAGAGGAGAGAGTTTTTGATGCACCTCATTGGAGTGATGGAGATGCATGTTGAAGGTGCTGACCAGGTGTTCTGTCATGTTGGTGAAGATGCTTTCTACGAGGAACTTCGCAAGAAGGACTTGGCAAAGCAGATGAAGGAGGTAAAGAATGAAATGGTCAGGTCCATAGTTGAAAAGAACAGCGTGACCTCAGTGAAGATCTCAAAGTCCATGGTCAAGATGGTTACATTGTTCTTGATGCAACCTCGAGCGTATGGACAGTATGCCGAAGGAAATAAGGATGGCTACCAGAATGAAGAGCTCAATGAGGAGAAAGCTGGTGGCTACCGACTAGGACTCTACATCTTTGTGTTCCTAGTGTACACGATCATGGTGTTCGGCTTTGGCATCCACGTTGGGTATGTGAAGTGGAAGAAAGTGTTCTGGGCGCATCGAAAGGTGAAATCTCTGATAGGCGAGGATTGGCTCACCGATTTTCAGCGAGAAGATGATCAACAGCCTACAAGATCTGGCTTGGATCTCAGAGAATGGACTGTTAGACACTCAGTGGAGGCCACTGGTGGTGAATGGGTGCGTGCAGCTACACCCCCACTACCTCAGCCTTTGAGGAGAAGACGTGGAGCTTCAAGGGTTGGACGCCAACGAGAAGGAGTAAATGGAAGCTTCGATGAGGAAGAAGAGAATTCTTTTGACAGCCAGGGAGCTTCAAGAAGGAGACAACGATCTGAGCAGGCAGAGTCAGAGCAAGAAGTTGCTAGAGATGAAGTGACAGTGGAGAGCTACCTCACAGATTGGGACCCAGAGCTTAGCAGGATGAGGCCCTACAGAATCCTGCAAAATGGAGAAGATGCAGAAAGTGGTAGAGGAGTTCTTCATGCTGAGCCCAGACCATGGGTATAGACGACACTACCGGCCAACATACTCCGAGAGAGATGAAGAGGCTGACGTTGAAAGAATGGATGTTGATGAAGATGCTGCTCGTGAAGCTCGAGCAACACTAGTCAGAGAAGAAGGTACAACCTTGCCTGATGACGACTACCTTTGGGAAGACTATGACCGAAATGAGCCACCTGAGGCCTTGGATTGGACGAAGCTTGAAAACTGCATCCGGTACATCAGTGGTTTGTTTTCGAGGTCACAAATGACCGAGTATGTGCAGGCTCGTTTGACAGCAAAGTTTGGTGAGTGGTATCCATTCATCAGATTCGATCATGCCCTCAGCTGGAACGCTGAATGCAGAGCTGGATTTGCAGCTTTTTGTGTGGCGGTCATGTCGTCACAGTGGGAAGTAGATTGGAACCGCCATTTGGAGCAATTTGCCCGGAGCGGTCAAGTGTAGAAAAGACCTTCACTTTGTTCGTTCTTTTGGTGGGGTGTCAGAACTTTACATGCAAAGCACCTCACTAGAGTTCACGATCGGCCGACAGTGGCCCAAACCATCTCCGCAGAAAAGGAGAGCAGTCGGCGCGTTTGCTACCTCTGACACTTTCCAACAGTGTTTGCACTTTGCTTCAACTGAAAGTGTTGATGGCATGCAGTCTTCGAAAGGGGTTGTGGAAAGTGGCTTGCTGGAATAGCGAAGCCTCCATACCATGTTTTTGAATGTGCGTGACCTTTGTACAGTCAGTTCGAACCAGTTCGAACGTCCCTTAAGGCCTGAGAGGCCGACGTGTTTGTAGACAAACTGAATGGAACAGCGATTTTTGTTTTTTTGAACAGTCTGGAGAGCACGTTTGGTGCTTTAACATGTTTACCGAACAGTTTGGAACCTTTGGGAGACACGTCCCCAGGTTCTGTACAAGTTTGTTGCGACAGTAACATAGTTGATTCAAGTGTGCGGCAGAAAAGGCGCGTTGCGGGTGTCTTTTCTCTTGTTTCTTCGTGCATACACTTGACTTACAAGACCGTTTTTCACGCTGAGAGCTTGCGAGGAAGGTTTTCTTTTCGTGAGTTTGTGTGTCAAACTTTCACGGTTTGCTTTTGTTTCCCTTCTTGTGGGTCACTGTGTCCGTCTTGTCTCCCTGCTGTTCCTTTATTTTCCCTTCTTGTCTCCTTGTTGTCTCCCTTCTTGTTGGTCATTGTGTCCGCCTTGTGTTCCTTCTCGTCTCCCTTTGTCTCCGGTCTTGTCTTGTGGGTCACTGTGACGTGTTGGTCACTGCGTCCGCCTTGTCTTCCTTCTTGTCTCCCTTTGTCTCCGGTCTTGTCTCCAGACACAATGGCCAACAAGAAGGGAGCCAACAAGGGACACAAAAGGAAACAGAAGGGAGACAAGACGGACACAAGGACCAACAAGAAGGGAGACAAAAGGAAACAGAAAGGAGACATGACCAACAAAGGGACAAAGGTTGACAGAAGGGAGACGAGGCGGACACAGTGACCAGCACGAAGGGAGACAAAGGGAGACAAACCGGATGGAAGGCGGACACGCTGTCCCGCAGCAAACAAACACTTTTAAAAAACATTGAGAACCCCTAGCGGTAACCTGTTTGGGGAAAAAACAAACTTGGACCAGTGAAAGAGCGTGGCTTGTGGAGTTTCCCTGTTGTGCCGGATTCTTTTTTACATGCCGGTTGCCCTTGAGTCCAAAGCACTTTTCCAATTGTTTTGTGGCATTGCAACTAGGCGTGTTTTCTGGAACGTTCCGCTTTTGGCGATTGTGAACGCAAACCACGTTCTTGGCAAAAATTGGGATGACGTTCACCTGACGTTCAACTGTTTGACGAATTGGAAGGTCCCAAGGTGTTGGTTGTCTATATCTTGGTTCCTGGTCGAAACACCTTGGTACCGATGGGACAGGCTTTTGGACAGTTTGGATGGCCAGGCTCCACGGACTTGTTTATTTTTTGGCTCGGGCCGGAGAAAATGAATCGCTTTGAGAGCTGCACTGGGAAGTCAGCAGTTTGGGCCTTTTTTTGGTGACAACAGTCAATTTGATCGATAATTTTTGTTTGTTCTTTCACATGCTCCCTTTACTGTCCACATTTGTCCATCCTTATTCACTCTTTGGTGACAGGATACATTGAAGCCATGAAGTTCTTGTCCATTGCGTTGGCGCTTTCGTTGGTGGTGGCGGATGAAGAACTCGAGAAAAGACATGCAATTCTGAGCTTCTTTCCAGCTCGAGGACCCCAGACCCCGCAGGATGTGGGCTGCGCACAGGATCTGTCTCGCAGCTATTTCGACGAGTACAATCAGTCCAGTTTGGACGCCTGCAAGACCTTTTGCATTTACAATGTAGCTGGACTTGAATCAAGACCGTTCTTGCAGTGGCTCAAATCGTTTTCCGTTTCTTCAAGACAAAATTGATTCAGTCGGCGAGGGAAGCACTGACAGGTTGATACTCGTAGATGTTTGGGAACTAAATGAACTCTTGCAAGGAGATGCCCACAAAAAGATGCCTCGAAGCGGGGCCTGGCCGGTCCATCGAAGCGGTTCTTGTGTTTGAACGTAGTAAGAAGACTCGGATGTGAGTTATTATATTCATTTTCTTTAAGATGACCTGATGCCAAAAGGGCCTTAAAGGGTACTCCTGACGCCAAAAGTGTTTTCCATTTGGCACAGATGCGGGACAACTTCCATTGTGAGTGGGGCGGCCATGCAAAATAAACAGGGGCCCTGCACATAGAATGGTTCCAAATCAGGAATTATGCCTGATCTAGCGGATTGTTTGGATATAGGCGTTGTACATAGCCGTCCGACCCCTTGTTTTGGCTCAAGGAAAATAGGCGCGCACGCCGGGATTTGAGCGTCCATATACCTTTTCATGGTAGCGGAGCTCTTGGTGACCGTGCTTGCGTTGATCGTGCACCTGGTTGACCTCTATTTCCCTGAGATTGTTGCCTCCATTGGCGTGCTGTCCGCCGCTTCGGTGGGCGCACGCTGGAGGCGGCATCGAAGGGCGCTTCAACAGCGACGAGTTGATCGCTGGCGACGCCTGGTGCGCAAGATCTTCAGGATTCGTTCCCTTCGCCGTGTATGGGGACATCTGGGCCACTTCCTGAACGACCGGAAGCAATGGCCACGGTTGGAGGGATGAGTGCACAGGAGCTGATCGATGTGGTGCGACAGCTGAGGCAGGAGGTCACTCAAGGACAGCAGCGCGAAGCACGACTACAAGGGCAAGTCGAGATGCTGGTTCACGCCCACCAGATGCGAGGAAACGATCCAGGAGGATACTTCGAAGGCATGAGACATGTGCCAAAGGACGCTGAGAAGACCACGAGTTTGGTCGATAGCCATGGACTAGCGAGACCGGACGGGACACGACACCAGCTGGACGAAGAGATCCGTATGCCAGTGCCGGAACACATGCGCCCCGGCGAGTTGGAGAAACGCTCGCAGTTGAACCGCTCCAGATTCACCCCGTACCTGGACGTGCGCGACATCGTGTTGAACCTCGAGGCAAGGCTCGGGGCCAAGGTTCGAATGAACGATGCAAGCCAACCTCCCGGAGGGCAAGACCCACAATCTATGGATGCCGGAGCATTCAAGGAGAAAGGCAAAGGGAGGAGCAAGAAAGGCAAGGGAAAAGGAAAAGAATGCGAGACGGACAAGGGCGACTTGAAGAACAATGGAAAGTGGCAGAACAGCGGAAGAGGACAAGGATCACAGATTGCTGGAGCGCTGACGGCGGTGCAGCGAATGCGACCCGGAAGCCGAAAGGAGCCGCCAGCAGAACTGCATGCAAAGCCAATGGACGTGAGTTGCTTAGACCTATCCGGACTTGAAGTGGAGATTGAGATCGACCCGGAGATCAAGCAGGAGATGGAGGATGCAGATCGATGCATGCAACCCTGCGACTACTGCTTTTGCCAGAATTGCGGACTGGACGAAGGAGGACACGTTGAGCATATCTGCAACCTGTGCGACATGGACTGGGAAAGGTTCCTGGAGAACGAGGACCTGAAGTCCATCAGAGCTGCACTTAAGATGACGAAGCCGGACGACTTCGAATACATCGTGGATAAAACGATCTGTCTCATGAAGGGAATCTCATTGAAGACCTTCCAGGCCTACAAGGACGACGTGAAGGAAAAATTGAGGAAGAAGGTTGACCCCGATGAGAGCCTGCGAAAGATGAACAAAGAGACATTGCAGCAAGTCGAGAAACACAGGCAGGAACTTCGCTTGCTGTACTTCGAGAAGCTGACAGACGCGATCGTTGGGGAGAGTCGAACCTCTGGTTCAGGCCAGCCCCCGGGATCCAAGGATGGCGAGACGAGTCAGACCCTTGGTCAGGCCGGCCCCGCATCCGGATCCAAGGAACAAGCGTCAGGTTCAACAAGCCGCATGGAGACAGTCAGAGGTGAAACCTCGAGTGATGGAAGAGATGAGTCGAGCCTTTGGTTCGGCCGAGTTCCCATCGAGACCCGCAGGATCATCCTCTGGGACAGTCCTGCACCGAACCATCGAACAGATGGAAGTGGCGAACATTGACGCTGCGATTCGAGAGAAGATGGCAGCATGCGAGGAGTGCGAAACGAAAGAAGAGGTTCAAAAGTTGGAAACCGAGGTCATGGTGTTGAAGACCAAGAAGGACAAGTTGAAAGAGAAGATTCAACGAGATGACCAGGTCACCAAAGCGAAAGCCAAAGCAGCGCCTAAGCTCACCGCGGAGAACCTGAACGATCAAAGTTGGCACGATTCGCGATATTATCAAGCCGTCAAGGCTGGTGCAAGCCATTCGCTGGCATGGAGTCAAGAACGCAAGAGGAGGAAGGCGACCCTACATCGCCAACAAGGAGTTGCCGACCGCGCAGCCGAAAGAATCAGGATGGACAAAGAGTGGCATGAAGAGTTCGACTCAAAGCCCGTGAAGGAAGAAGAATTCGACAAGGAAGAAGACAACACGATCGAGACCGAAGCCGTGCAGGAGATGGACGACGGAACGGTGCGTGTTTTCAGGGGCCAAGCAAAGCGCGTGGGTCGAGGAAAGCTCAAGAAGCACCAGTTCTCCCGATTCTTCAAGTCTGCACGGACGTATCGGAAGCTCAGTCAGGAAGAAGTAGCCAAGTTCGCCGTGGAGACCAAGGACGATGAGCTGCGAGTGATGGGCCGCAAGAGGACAGATGTTCTTCGCCGACGGGACCGACCTATGAGCAAGGAGAAGAAGGAATCCAGGAAGAAGCGCGTTCGCAAGGCAAGGGCACGCAAGCGCAAGGAAGAGGAGGAGAAGTTCTACTTGAAGCACCCACACGACAAAATGCGATGCTTCGATTTCCGGAGGTCGCATTGTGGCAAAGGAGTGAAGTGCAAGATGGCTCACTCCGAGATCGATCGCGAGCGCTACTTCATGCAGAACCGCCACGACGAGGTGCAGAAGGACCTGGACAAGGTCAAGCTGACCCGTGCGGAGATCAATTCGTTTGCGGTGAACGAGCTGTCAGTCGACAAGAGCGGATGGGTCAAAGTGACCGCAAACTTGGACACAGGCGCAGCCGTCACCGCGATCCCAACGGAGTTGAAGGGCCTGTTGGGGATGGAATCCGAAGATCCCAATGGCGCCAACTACAAGACCGCTTCGGGCGAGCTTATCGCGGACGAAGGTGGTGGAACGATCCGCGGCCTCACTGAAGAAGGCTATGGAAGGAAAGTGGACGGTCGATTTGCAAATGTCCACAGACTGCTCGTCTCAGGAAGCAAAGTGACGGCCCGCAATTTGGTTGTCATGGACGGAGAGCAGGGTGACATGGTACCGAAGAATGGACCCATCGCCCACGGACTCCGAAAGGCGTTGAAGGACTTGAAGCGCAAGTTCCCAAAAGACACTCAGAATGTCACGAAGATGTACGTGCACAAGGGCATCTTCTGCTTCGACCTCTGGTGCAAGGCAAAGCAGGAGGCCAGAGGAGATAAGGCCATGGAGGAGCTCGCCGCGGTAGAGGCGGGTTTCCAACGGCAGGTGAATCCGTAAGTCCGAAGACTCCGATGGGGGGAGTCGGTCCTTTGGACCGGCCGGACCCGCAGGAGCACCCTGAGGGGCGAATCGATCCGATGGATCGGTCGGCCCCCATGGAAGAAGAAACCATGGAAGAAGAAGCGAGGGCTCCAAAAGTGTTGAGGAGTCCAATATCTCCCACTGCGGAGGAGATCGAGGAGCATGAGGCGATTGGACACGCGATCCATCGCACATGGTGCGGACATTGCATCCGCGCTAGAGGGCTGCACGAGCAGCACAAGGCGACCCCAAGTCCAGAAGACAGAGGATTGCCCACAGTGTCTCTGGATTACTTTTATTTTGGGGGCGAAGGAAGAGGAACGGAAGGAGAACTTCCAAACCTGCAGGTGAAAGATGAAAGTACAGGGATGCTTTGGGCATCCACCATCCCGGCCAAGGGAGCCGATGCTTTCACCACGAATTTTGTGCTGTCCTGTTTGGACGAAATGGGTTACAGGAGGATCATCCTGAAAAGCGACAACGAAGTGTCGATCAAAGCGCTGAAAGACAGCATCAAAGCGGCAGCTAAAACAGAGCTTTCCCTCGAGGAGGGGAAAACAGGCGATAAGCCGTCCACGGGGAGTGTCGAGTCCGCCGTGAGAGAGACCAAGAGGCAGTGCAGGGCCATGAAGAGCGCGTTGGAAGAGAAGATGGGGAAGAGCATCCCTGACCGCCACGCCATTTGGACATGGTTGGCCAGACATGCGTGTTTCCTCATTTCGCGCTATCGTGTTGGACCCGATGGACGCACGCCATATGAGAGATTGAAAGGCAAGAGATGGAGGCGACCTTTGGTTGTCTTCGGAGAGCGAGTGCACTTCAGACCACTCCAGAGCTATGTCTCAGGAAGATCTGATTTGGCGCCAAAGCTGGACATGGGAGTGTACGTTGGTACACATGGAAGAAATGGAGACGCTTTGGTCATGACGAAAGAAGGCGTGATCAAAGGAGGCAGCTTGAAGAGGCTGACGGTCGAAGAAAGATGGGCCGACGTGGAGCTCTTCAAAGGAACACCCTGGAAGATGAGGCCGAAGTCCGAAGAGGACGTTGAGGCGGCCGCTGTACGGATTGAACTTCCGGCAGCCGAAGGGAGGCTCATGCCTGAGCCGGTGGCTCGAGACAGCGGGCCAAGGAACCTTTACGTCACCCGTCGTGACGTGGAAGGAAACTATACAGCAGGATGTCCTGGATGCATAGCAATTCAGGTCGGGTTGCCCGCCAGGGCGCATTCGGTGGAGTGCAGGACCTTGGTGCAGAATCGGTTGATGGCGACCGAAGAGGGCAAGGAAAGGGTGTTGAAGGCTCAAAAGCGAAAGGAGGGAGGAGCGGCTCCCAAGGTGGCGTTGGCCGACGTGCCCGATGAGGCAGAGGAGATGCACGCATCAGATGCCGTTGGACGACCTGAGGAACGAGTCGACCCCGTGGGTCAGCCGGTTCCGGGTTCAGGAACGGGACGAATCGATCCAATCGGTCGGTCGACCCCTCCAGTGTCTCGTGCGGCGGAAGGTGCGACAGGAGACGAGTCTCCGACCAAGAAAGGAAGATATGCGACCGTCAAGAAAGCCAAGGTTGAATCCGCGCGCGGTTTAAAGCGCGGAGGAGGGGATCTTGACGATCTCTACGGAAGCGAAACCCCGAGAGAAGGGGAGGTCGAGTTGGAGAGAGGACCCAGCTCATCTTCAAAAGGCGAAGCTGCAGTCGCAACCCCTGCCAAAGAGCAGGAAGAGAAAGTGGATAAGAGTCCCATGCCAGCACCAGTTCGACAACTGGTGATTGAGACGATTTGCAATCTCGAGTTGGCATCGTTCCTCAACGAGAAGATGTTTCCAGAAGCTAGTTTTGAAGAGTGCAAGAACGTGAGTCGCGAGATGCTTCATTTAGGTGCGAGTAGGACACATGTCGCTGAGATCTACAATCCAGAACGTTTCACTTCGAGGGCAAACCAATTTGGTCTTAGCCCCGGATTTGCAATTGACATGGAACTGCAGAAGCCCAATGGCGAGTATTGGGACTTGTCAAAAAAGGCCGATGAGGAAGAAATGAATAGACTTTTGGATCGGCGCGAGCCGACATGCCTCATTGGTTCACCACCTTGTGGATCATTCTCACCGTTGCAAAATCTCAGCAAAAGCAAGAGGACTCCAGAAGAAAATGAACGGATCAGGCAAGAAGGGCTCACACACCTCCGAGTAGCTTGCAAGAGCTATCTCAAGCAGATGAATGAAGGGAGGATTTTCTTGCATGAGCATCCAAAGGGTGCCAGCTCATGGAAGGAGCCTGAAGTGCAGATGTTGATCAACGACCCAAGAGTGATCTTGGTCGAGGGGCCAATGTGCCGTTGGGGCATGAAAGCAACAGATCAACAAGGTGAAGGATTTGTGCGCAAAGAAACGCGCTACCTCACGAACTCCGTTGCAATTGCGGCTGCATTGTCGGGTCAATGCAGCGGAGAACATAGGCATGTTCATTTGGTGAACGGCAGAGCCAGGCAGGCGCAAAAGTACCCACCGCGCATGGTGGCAGCGATCCTGCGCGCGATCAGACAGGAACTTCGATGGCGTGGAGAGCTCAATGAACTATCAGTTGAAGGGTCTTCACCTAGTCCAGATGGAGAGACAAACGAACCCAACAACAAGTTCGATGCTCCAGTAGAAGATCACGAACAAGCCGAGTATTTTGACACCGTCACTGGAGCTCCATTGCGCAAAGAAGCAGTTCTTGCCGCCAGGCAAGAAGAGCTGAGATGGGTTCAGAAACAACAGATCTACGTCAAGGTTCCGATTGAAGAATGTCATCAGGCCACTGGCAAGCCACCCATCACCTTGAAGTGGGTGGATAAGAACAAAGGAGACAATGAGAAAGAAAACTACAGAAGTCGCTTGGTGGTCAGAGAAGTCAAGAAGCCAGGTCAAACCGTTCCAGAATGTGAGAGCTTTTCAGCGATGCCTCCACTTGAGGCACTCAAGGCACTTTGTTCACTCATGACTTCAATGAAGGTCAGCCGACGTGGAAAAGTGCTCAAGCTCAAGTTGCTGGACATAAGCCGTGCTCATTTCTATGGTGATTCTCAACGAGCTGTGTATTGCACACTGCCTGAGGGAGATGAAACTCCCGGACACTGCGCCCGCCTTGTTAAGACAATGTACGGGACGCAAGATGCGGCATCAATTTGGCAAGCAACATACAGCGAATTGCTTCAAGAACACGGCATTCAAGCTGGAACAGCATGGCCATCGATATTCTACGACACACAGTCGGATGCGAGATTTCTTGTACACGGAGACGATTTTCTGATTTTAGGAGATGAAGACGCGCAAGAGCGGATTGCCACCATTTTGGCAAAGAAGTTCGAGTTCCGTGTCGATGGATGTGTCGGGCCTGAAGAGTCAGATGGCACGGTGATGAGCGTGCTCAATAGGATTTTGGAATACAACAAGTCTACAGGGACGTTGACGTACGAAGCCGACCCTAGACACGCGGAAATCATTGTGAAACAGCTGCAACTTGAAGGTGCTCGAGAAGTGAGCACTCCCTCGGTGAAACAGACGGGGGAAGAGGCGTTTGTCGAAACGCCGCCCTTGAATCATGAACAAGCAAAGACCTACAGATCATTGGTGATGAGAGCAGCCTATTTGAGTTTGGACAGAGGAGATCTATGTGAAGCTGTGAAAACACTGGCAAGGTCTATGTCCGTTCCAGATGAAGATTCTTGGGCAAGACTGAAACGCTTGGGTAGGTACCTGCTAGGCAAACCTAGAGTTGTTCAGGAGTTCAAGCCACAACGGATGTACACCAAGATCCGAGCTTTCACAGACAGTGACCATGCTGGGTGCGTTCGCACAAGGAAGTCCACCACCGGACTGATCTTGATGTGTGGACAACACACCCTGAAATCCTCTTCGACCCTGCAAACGACGATATCGTTGTCTTCTGGCGAATCAGAATATTACGCCATTGTCAAAGCAACGGTATCAGTGCTCGGAATTCGAGAAATGTTCCGAGCATGGGGAGTTGAACTGGATTGCATGGTTCTTTCAGACTCTAGCGCAGCTAGAGGGATGTGCAGTCGACGCGGACTGGGCAAGACAAGGCATGTACAAACCCGCTACTTGTGGGTCCAACAAAAGCTCAAGGAGAAGGAATTCGAGCTGGTTGCAGTAGGCACCGACAAGAACGTTGCCGACTTGTGCACCAAGCCCTTGAGCGCAGAGACATGTTGGAAGCACATGCATGCTTTAGGCCAGTTCGCCAAAACTGGTAAGAGCGCAGCTGCGAAAGCAATCGAGTGAGAAGTTCTGGTTGTAAAGCAACCGAACTTAGGAGGGGTGTTTGGATATAGGCGTTGTACATAGCCGTCCGACCCCTTGTTTTTGGCTCAAGGAAAATAGGCGCGCACGCCGGGATTTGAGCGTCCATATACCTTTTCACGGATCCTCAACAGCTTTGAGAACCTGGTCGACTTTCCGATCGTTCCACTGGTTCCAGTCGTCCTCCCTCCTATCCTCCTGAGGTGAACTGCACTGGCATCGAGTATGCGGTCCCCTCAGTTGCTGAAGTCGGTGGCCGGTGCCGCGTTTGGAAGAAACCCCAAGGATTGGAGGTCACGGTGGACCTCATTGGTTTCAGTTGCTGGAAGTACAACCACACGTGCCTTGCCTGAGCATAGGGTTCTACGGGCCCGTTGAGGCCTGTCTCAGTGGTGTTTTTTTGTTTTTCCTGGGTGGTGGTGGAACCTTCTTTGGAAGGTGTTGATCTGAAGGATGTGAATCAGACAGAGGGGGTGAGAGAATTGGCTCAAACAGTGAAATCACACATTTTGCACGCCCCACGTTTTTCTGTGAGATCCTTCCAACAAAAACATCCACGGGAGTTTTCTTTATTTTTTTGAGGCAAGAGACTAGTCGACATGGTGGGGGATCGCACATGCCGCCCAGAAGAGGTGCTTGGAGGATGGTGCAGGTTTTGCTCGGAAAAGAAGACGGGCAAAGAAAGCAAGAAAGCAAAACCTTTGAAGACTCTCTTCAACATCGGCCTTGGACCGATGTGATGTTTCCGCCCAAGTTTTGGGGGTTTCGGCTGGATGGTTTTCCAACAAAAAACACAGCTTTGCATCCCCCTGTGGTGAAGATCAGCTATATATGTTGACCTACTGAATGTGGTTCCCAGGAGGATAGTGATAAGTGTGTGATCAGCGTGATTTTTGTTTAGCTTTTGGAAGATCTAAAAGACTTACCACTCTCCATCCATCGAGAACTCTACGTATTCTGAGGATTTCAGCTGGACACTATTGCAGCAGATGGGTCCGCGTTGGGACATGCCAACGGCTGCACGGAGATTGCTACAAATGCCTCCAAGAGTCGCCCCTTAATTAAGCCATTTTTGTGGATGCTACAAATGTGCACATTTTGGCCGATTTGGACGCTGGATTGGTCGCTAGGGACCCTGGTAAAGATCCTCAGGGTTGCTAGCGGCGGCGCCGAATTCAAGCGAGGATTGCTCTGTAAAAAGATCACCGTCGCCCCAAACCGCGCCAAACGATGTGTCACGGAGTGGAGCAGAGTGGTAACGGCAACCTTCTCAACATGAGAAGGGCGGTGACAGGGACTGCGTCGGTCGACCACGGTCTGCCGCTGGTCGGAGACCAAATGAAAGATGCTTGGAGAACGGTGCTGGTGAACATTATCGAAGATTTAAGCTATTGCAGGGCCATTCCCACCTGCTTTTTTGTTTGTTTGTTTGTTTGTTTGTTTGTTTTTGTTCACAGTTTTTGTGTCGCACTCCACAGTGACTGTTGGAAACTGTTGGAAAATCACTGAATGCTTTGAATCATCACGCGCATTCCGGTTTCGCCACTGCCCTGTAGAAGTTCTGATTAACTTTTCAAAGCAGTATGTTGTTTTTATATTCATCTAAAGAAAAATCGACAGGAAAGCAATCCTTTAGCTGGGGACAATGCAAGTGGGTAGTGAAAACCCGCTTCTACAGGGTTCCTGTAGACCGTATATAACCGTATATAGATGTTTTGCAGAAAACTTCAAGTCCAGCTCCGACGCTGTCTCGTGAGTTTTCAGGGAAGCTTTCATGGACACTGGACACTGAACACTTGAAGATGCACACTTCAGGATGGCCGTGATGATTTGTGTCATTTGTTGGTCCAGCTCAAGCTGCCTCGTGCGGTGTTTTCAGCGAAGTTTCCATGGCATGGACACAAGAAGACCCAGCCTATGAAAGCTCCGTCCCAATGCTTGTGTGGTGGTGGGGCATGTTAAATATTAGAGGCCGTTCCTTGTTGATATTTGCTATAATTCTTTGCTAAAGCATTGCTTTCTTGCTGCCTTTTGCCAATCCCATTGCCAAACTTGGGACTACTTGTCAAACTCACTTTTCTCACCTGCAAGGCAATGTTTTCTGACATACTAAGTTTTTTTGTGGGCTGTATTTAGCGGATGAAGTGGGGACATAAACACCAACAGCAGTTCTTTTCACCAACCGTGATGACCCCACTGTGTGATGACTACTTTTCTTCCCGCAGCGCCCCACAAACGATCGCAGTGATCCACTGGGTATGACCAACGAGATGACTGAAACCCCTCCATCCACTGGGGGCCTCAGCCTCGACCTCCCCACTGGGTGGTTTGACCTCTTCGTCCCCGGACTCCCCAGCCTCGACTTGCCGGACGCACTGCGGCGACCCTATGGTGCCATGCGCACGATCTACACACCGCCGGAGGTGGGAGAGGGCAGCGGAGTGAGTTGAGCCCCGAACATGAACGTACATAGACGACCAGATAGATTACCAGACATGGTGAAGCTATCAAAGATATGGTGAAACTCTGCGGCTGTCAGGATCACTAGACCCGCCGAGGAGGTCATTTTTGTCCGAGGTTCTTCTTTGCAAGGCACATTTTGGTAGCAACGATGTGCTTTTTTTTGCAACGGTGAATTCGAAGCTACCAGTACAGGGGATGTTCTACCCACTTTTGCGTAGCTTACATTTGTTTGGGCTAAGATCCAAAGCTGAAGAACTCTTCGAAACTGCTGAGGTGAAGCTTCTCCAATGGATGCTTCTGTGCTATTCTCTTGATTTGTGTGTGCCCCTCCGTGTCCGTCCTATGGGCTGGTTCTCTCTTTGGCTCTGAAACCAAAAGGGTGGACCCTTTAATGTCTATTTATTCACGCAGCCGAATGTCTCGATTGAATCTTAGTGGTGCATGTTGAAGCACGGCTAAGACACGACAAGGAAGCCAAGGCAAAAGGGTGGACTCAACACAATGTCTTTCAGAATGTGCGCCACTATTGGCTGACTCCGTGAAAGTCGACATCTACCCTCCCTCCAACTGCTCATGCTTTCGTGGGGCCTCATCCCCTGTTTGTAGAGGAACAGGGTCTTTAGAGGGCCATGTAGGGAGTGGGTGGTGCTGACCAAAACACCAGGGTCACTCGATCTGACCATTGGGCCCCCTCCCCCTCTGGGCCCCTGGGGCCTTGGGGTTTCGGCATCGTGGCGGAGCCGATGTGAAGAGGATGGGATCATTCTGTGTTCGTTTCAGATGGCAGACGGACAGATCGGTCATCGTTCGTTTTGGTGGCATGGGGCACGGGGCACGGGGCATGGATTGGACCAACCGTTCAGCAGGTCTATGCTCGCCCAGCCAGGCGCAGTGTGGCAAAGCGGTGTGTGGGAAGGGGTGGGTGTTCCAGAGGCCGAAGCGGTCGATGGGGGCGATGTGTCAAACGTCTAACGCCTCGGCTGAATACCTAAAGGGCTTCGGAGGAATTCAACCCAAACACTCCATAGGACTGCCATATATGCCGCCCCATTGACGCCCCAAACCACCCCAATGTAGGCAAATATCGCATACATGGAGTGTTTCGGCTTTTGGCTTCTGGGCCATCCATTTGTTGTGGGTCTATAAGCCCTGGCAACTCGTAGACCCCTGGCCCGCTGGAGGGCCCGATGGTAGAAAGGAGCTGATTGATACCCATCAGATGTCAGAGATTGGAGTTGATTGGAGACCTTTGTTGTTTTGAGTCATAAGGTCTCACATGAAGTGGTGACTGCGTGCCAGAAGCAACGTCCCAATAATGGTTTCGAGAACCCCTGAATAGACCCAGAAATTCACTGATTGACCGTTTGGTTGACCAAACTAGCCATCCGACATTGCTCGGGGAGGGCACATGGACTTCAACAACTTGCACAATTCGTCCTCCCTGACTTGGTCATTCACTGGGTCCCCCGAAACCCATCAGAATAGGGAGAAAAACCCTTCGGACGCCCTTTCCAGAAGGAAAAAGAGTTCACAACCCATTCGTGGAGGGTTTCACCTTTTCTTCGCTGCATGACGGCTAGTCTAGCAGGGGGATTTTCCTATTTTAATACACAACTCCCTCTCGCTCCTGAACTCGGCATCCGCTTACGCGCGCAGGACGCCAGGCCAGCCCAACCGCCAGGCCCGAGGATGGGTTCAATCGTCAAGGCTTAAATGATGCCGGAGCCGGGGAGGAGGGGAGCCGGTGGTTGGCAGTATTAGCAAGAAAGCCTGGGAAATTTGACACATACAGAGGATTACGTGAGTTGACGATTTGGGGCAAGGCCATGGCGGTGTTTGTGTTCCCTGTTCTGGGAGAACGTGCTCTTTTTTTTAAACCTGCCCTGGGCACGGACGGCTGCCGGTCCCTCCCGTTGGCGAGAAAGTGCTCTGCGAGCACAATCATTGCTCTTACTCCCTGGACCAGTCCACACAAAAGGGAGCGAAGGGTGTGTTTGGCAATGGGGTTCTCCCAGTCAAACGTGGAGAAACTCCCGCTCAGATTGAGCATTTGGCATTTGAAGATAGTATTTGCCTCTCAGCCCTTATTTGAGCTCAGAGCTGATGATGTCTTCCAAAGACACGCACCCGAGTTGCAAAGCCGTACGAGAACCCGATTTCAAGAACTAACCGTGTTTCGTCAAATTTGAGGGCCCCTGCTGACCTGATCGTGATCGTAGGAGTTCTAGTCCTGTTCATAGGAGGCATAAGATTCCTCCAAGTGTGGTGCCGCTTTTAAAGTGGTTTCCAGCTCCTCTTCCATGAGCCACAAGCTGGTGGCCCAACGCGCAGCTTCTAGGCTTATGAGGACAGCTATGGAGAAGTGTTAGAAACGAAGACTCGGAGGTCCTCTCAGTGATTCAGCGATGGTTTTGGGGGTTTAGGCAGACGTGGGCCTTGGAAGATTATGGGAAGCTTACTAGTTGGTGTTGCCAAGCCTTTGATGCAACATCTTCAGGGGATCAGAAGGTTATTTTAATCCCGCACAAGGGAGCTCAGCAGAAATCGCCGCATTGCTTGAACAAAAAGACTTCCTGAAGATGTGTTTGTGTACCGTACCAACCTGCCAAGGGTGGTATCAAAAAAAGCACTACTACTCACTACTCCACATATCTGAAACAAGAGGATCGGAGACCGACACCGACACCTTCTTCACAGCGACGGTTTCACGGAACTCCCGTGCTCTGAGAACAGCGATGCCTCTTTAGTCGATGAATCGATGCATGTCGGGTGCCCGATGGGAGAACTGCCGCCCATGAAGAGGTGCCGAAAAGGGGGACCATGGCACAGTGGAAATGAAGGTGGTGAATACACGTGATATTCAGGGTGATCTTGATCTTCTTCTTCTTCAGTTTTTTTTCGAGTCTTCCTTCCTTTCTTCCTTCCTTCCTTCCTTCCTTCCTTCCTTTTTCCTTCATCATAGATCTTCTTTCTCTCTTTTTCTCGTTACCTTTCTTGACCTTAGTCTGGATTTCCTCCGTGCTGCCTCTCATGCTCGCACCAAGGTTCACTCAGACCCTTTCACTCTTCTCCCCAGACGCTTCAACGGGACCTTCCGGTCGACCCGCTTCGACGGACGACCAAAGGGACGACCGGTCGGGACGGGATCTTCGGCTCCAGGTCGGGAGGTCAGCTGAGCGACACCGAGCCTCGGCGGAGATCGGGACGGGAAACGTCTCCTTCCAATCCCAACGGCCACCCAGTGAGCTCGACCAAGGCGGCGGACGGGTCGACCAAGCGCCGCAGAAGCGCCGGTCACGCTGACAGCACCAGCCCCGCGGCGCTGGGCAGAGCGAGTCGACAGATCCTGGTCGGAAGCCCGCGCGAGCTCTTCCGCGAGGCCTTGGACCTCACGGGCAGGTGCGCCGCGCCGCCACGTGGAAAGGGGACTGCGACTGGCTCGCAGTCTGGTTGCGTTTAGGAGTTCCGCACCCTGGCTGAGCCACCTCAAGACGAGAAGATGGTCTTCCACTGGGCATTTGTGTCTTTCTTTTGAGCTCATAATTAGGTCAAAAGCCTGTTGCACAGCCTTTCTTTTAGAAGCCATTTCTCGTGGGTATGAGGATGTGAATTTCCCACCAGCAGAGGAGAAACGCGTCCCTCGCAGCTTGTGGGAAAAGCCGAGCCCTTTTTGCGGTCCCAAGCGCGAACGCGCCAGGCTCCTGGAGAAAGGTCTTCGTGTCCTCTGGGTCTCCAGGCAGGTGCGGAGCCGCTGGGAGACCCTGCGGCGTCAGCTCTGCGAAGAAAGGCGCGCTCGGAGTCGGTTCGACTCGTTCGGAACAGGCGGAGGAGATGCATGGCACGGCTGAAACGGGGTGAACTTGGGTGGGGAGAAGGCTGGATTGATGATTGATGTAGGTCCGGTGCAGTGACCCTGGTTGAAAAAGACCCTTCGCCCTCTGCAAGATGGTCTTCAAAAGCCCACTCTTTTGCGAGCGAGCTCGAATTCGCGAGCGATCCGCTGGAAGAAGTCCGTCCGGTGCTCGAACCGGGTGGCTCGAGCTTTCGCTCTTTCGTGCTGGAGCTGGCCGTTTTTTGGGAGCTTCGAATGTCAGGTATCCCATGGCCATCAGCCTTCAGCTTCAAGATCTTCAAGGTGGTCAGCTTCAGCCCTTGCAGATCACCCATCCAAGCTGCTTGTTGTCGCATCTCCTGCAAGGCACCAGAAAAACGGAACGCCGTGAAGGGGTTGGCTAAGCAGACATGAAATCCACCATCGACCCAGGCGGGAGATATCCTGTTGAAGTGGGCTCTAGGTCAAAACCCAGACACCAAATAACACCATCGGGTCATGTTCAGAAGGTCTTGGAGCTCCTGGGCCACGACGCACTGCCACGGAACCGGAGTCCCACACCAATATTGATCCTTCCTCCCATGCTGGATTCTTTCCCCCCACCTGGACAAGGCCGCGATCTGAACTTTCATCTCATCTTCGACAACTGCGGCTTCTCCTTCGTCACGGAGGCCTGTTTGGCCTTGCTCCGCCAGCCGCACTACCTCCTGCAGCCCTTCCCCGGCTCCGACGACGAGCACCACTGGCTGCGCGCTGCCTCCGCGGCCAGCAGCGCCCTGCGGGTGGTGTGGGCGTTGCGGCCGCGGAGGCTGGTGCCGCTGGCGCCTAGCTGCTCCATACTGAGCGTGGTGGGTGAACTGTTGCGGAAGAAAAATGAAGTGCTGGTGGTCACCGAGGAGAATGTCCCTGATATTCTTTGTATCTGAAGATCTCAAGTTCGCTTTTGGAGGGTCGGAGGGGAGGAGTTTAGAATGCAGGATGCGAGAGCTTAAGCAGGAAAGGGTGTTTTCTGTGTTGTCTCAAGAGTGTAGGATCTTGAGGAGATGGGTAGGGCCTCTCTTTTCATCTCCACAAAACATGAGATCCTCGACAGCAGTCTGCAGGATACAGAGGAGGTCACAAGCCTCAAGAAGAAGTTGTCGAAGCTGAAGAGAAGTCCATGTGGCCTGGAAACAGGGCTTGGCTCAGAGATGCAGCTTGGCTTGGAGATGCAGCCGGGGGAGAACAATGAGTCTTATTCCACAAGACAAAGAAGCGAAGTATGGTGTTGGATGCGAACACAGACACACGTGCGGTCTACACGGGTGGCAAAAGGGCACTTGGCCACGAAGTGTTGCAGTTTCAACCAGAATGGTTTAGTTTAGTTGGTGAGCATTGTATGCCGAACAACTGCATCAATGCGCTATTGTCCGCAGAGGTGGGTCTTGGACTGCGACAGCTTGCAGTTCGAGGCGCGACGCTTCAAAGTGATCCTGGCGACCCAGGTCACCTCCACCCAGGCGAACGAGACACGGGCGGACATGGGATGCTGAGTGGAAGAAGATAGCTTCAGAACCTCATGGATTTTTGTGTCCAGAAGTCTCTTCAGAAGTCTTGTCAGAACCTCCCAAGTCAACCATCTCTGACCGACAATTTTTTCGTACAGGCCTGGCACCAAATTCTCGATGCGCTCGAGGATGACGGAGATCCTTGGACGCATGTGTATATAGGCGATAGTCAGTGGAGGGGATGTGCTCTTCCATGAAGGCCATGCGGAAAAGGACGAGAACACAATTCCAACAAGTACTCTAAATCGAACAGTCCTGTGCTCTTCTAAACCTCCTGCATATGGCCGCACAGATTTTTCTTTTGGAAACACGAGCACCGAGAATCCTTTTCCTTGTTTGACACAATGAACCGTGTCCTTTTGGGTTCAAAGGATGCTCATAAGGAAATAGCCGGAGCTTACTGATGCGATGTTGGGCATTGGATTCCCAGGTTCAGAGTTTTAGGGGAGTTCGTTTGGTCCGTTTCTCCGACAAACAGTTCTTTGGCTCAGGAACTTTTTGAATACCAATGCAGCCAGTCAGCTTCGGAGATCGAGAAGCTCGAGCACCTCTTTGCTTGGCTGGATAGAGATCAAGAGACGCTGGGCCAGACATGGGACCCGTCGCCAATGCTGGGCTTGTCCGTCGCCTGGGTGTTCAGCTCGACCTCTTTCAGGCGCATGGGGTCGTTTTGCTGGACGAAGCCTGCCCCCCCCAAGTCGGCGGGTGGTAGGCGGACATCAGTTGGAGCTGATTGGCAGGTGGGAAAGCATTGAAACTGGGGGTCATCACTCCTAGAGAGAATGGATCATGAATGAGAGTGAAGGGTCTTTTGTTTTTGGGAGCTGGACTCCTGCTTGGGAGCAGAGCTTAACGTTTCTGCATCAAACTAGGGGCCACTGCAAGGTAAGTGAATCTTCTAAATAGGTACTTCCGTAACACAATGTAACACAATCAGACGACTTAAAGTAAAGGAAAGCAGATGTGGCAGGACGTCCTCAACTGCATTCCAATACAACCTGCGGGTTGTGATTGCTCCACATTTAACTTCTAACACATCTACTACCATTCTTCCTCCGGAGATCTACAGTTTCCTCCCCCCCTGGTCTTCTTCACTCGTCCCGTTCTCCGTTTTCCGGCTCATCTGCACTTGGGGCTCGCTCTTCGCGCCCTCAGGAAGCGCTCGACGGAGGCGCCCGTACAGGCGCTGGTGGTCGAAGAGGACCGGTGTCGCATCCCAGGAGCGGCAAGACGGGAGAGTGGTGAGACGGGGGGAAGCCTCGAGGTGACTGGGACGGGAGGGGAGATCACTGTACGAAGAGACGACATGTGTTCGACTCAAAAAGCCAAATATAATATATAGTAATGTATGCTTTGCCATGGGGTCCTACCTATTTGTTGCGCATATTTATATACACATTTCCAGCACCTTTCAATTGGTCGCCAATGGAAGCCCCTACACCCCGAAAGGAAGGTCCAGGTCTATTCTTTCGGCTCATCCTCCGCAGAGTGGGACTCCAAGAAGGACCCGGTCGAGGTCGCGCATAGCTGGTCATGACATGGGTGCAATGGTGTGTCAGAACCCACTACCGAACCCAATTCCTGTGGAGACTTCAGAGACCTGATGAGCTTCGACTTCTACCCCTAGAAGTCGTGGCCCACCATTGTTTTAATCGCCTGAATCCCGAACAACCATCGTTTTACTGAGGGTTTTACCCTACAAAATCAGATCGTTCCCATTTTCAACATGGTCGACTGGACTTCCAGAAGTACAGCATTTCTTGGCGCGGAAGAAGGAGAGTGGCAAGGTCACCAAGGTCCGGAACGGGTTCGACACGGGCGGAATTCCCGTCTCGTTCCGGAAGGGGTCCGAGCTTCGCCACGCGCAACTCCTCGTCCATCCTCCCCCCACGTTCGCATCGCAGCGCGGGCGGACGTGGTTTCGGCCGACCGGTCAGGCTGCCTGGCAGATGCATTGGTCACGCAGTTTTTTGGCCATCCGAGACCTGTGTGGTGTCGGATGGAAAGCGTTTCACCCGTGTTCGAGGCCGAGGCCTATCACACGGAAAGCCATTCCTGGCAGGTGCGCTCCGGCGAGTTTCGGGGGATTGCTTTCGGAGGTTTCCCAGGCGTGAAGGCGGCACAGAAGAGCGGATTGCATTGTGCAGGAAGATTGATTGGATGTGCCAAACATGGGAAGCTTGAGGCTTGAGGAGCTGTTAGTTCCGGGTGTCCCTTTTTCTCGCATTGTTGGGGCATCCAGAGCTCGGGGAAGAGGTTTAGGCAGTGGTTTAGTTTTGCATGTCGTTGGGGTTTACCATACTCACCGATAGCGGTTTTTGGGGGTGGTTCTTTTTGCTCCAACCTCGTAGTCCACTCATCTACAAAGGTTTTCACCAAGACGAAGACCAATAGTTGATGGCCTCGACCCCTAACCCCAGAGAGGGGGTCCATGTCTTGGTTCCTGCTTGACTGATTGGCACTTTCACCCCAAATCCGGCTGTACTTTCAACCAAAGCCAGGCAGAGTCATCTGGAGTCATCTGGGATATTCACCATGATTCTGATCCAGTTCATCTTCCCACACTCCGAACCACCAACGCACCGAAGATCTTCGGCCAAAGCCCGGCGACCGAAGACCGCCCGGTACCGAGAGCACTAGCAGCACTGGCAGGTGTGTCCTTCCAAGTGGCGTTCGGAGAAGATGGCTCGAAGGCATGCGGCCTCGGAGATTTTGAGAGGCTGGACGAATGCAGGCGCGAGCACGTGCGCCGGTCTGTAGTGCAGACGGTCTGCAGTTACCCATCGAAGCCAACACCCAAAGATGTAAATGCTAAAGGTGCTCGAGTTCCACTAGCGGCACACGATGGTGCTCTTTTATGGGAAAGGATTTTTCGAACGCCCTCAGCAGCAAGAACGGTCAAATCCAGCTGTTTCCCCACCTCGCGAGATGTATCAAGAGGAAGATCGGACGACAATCCCTCGACGCTGTGACTGAAGCTGTGACTGAAAATTCACCTCTCATAACCTGCGCTCGACTCCAAGCTCTAACCCGCGGGCTGACGAACAGTCATACGAGAGACGAGAGCGTGCGAGAGACGAAAGAGATCTAGCCGGGTCAGGCCGGCTGGCACCAGTGAGGTGTCCAAGTGGCGGAGAAGTTGTTGGAGCTCTTCAAAGAGAACATGACGTGTCCCTTCCTCTTGGAGTTTTACATGACATTGCGGCTGCCACCCCTCCAACCAGAGGTTGGACTGGGGGGAAGGCGGCGAAGCTGGGAAAAGTGGGTGGATCTAGTTGTTTGGTGGATCAAGTGAAGACGCGTCTTCTTCCAAAGTGAAGGCAGCAAGATGACCCTAGTACTTCTGGCATCTTAGGGCACCCAGTATAGTCTACTGAGCGTCTGCTGGTACCATGGAGGATACTCTTGTGGGCCCTCTCAAAGCTGCCTGAACAACAGGTCGAGCTCTATTCCTATGCGCTCCGCCTAGAAGATCAATCCTTTGCGCCTTTGCTCATCATCTCTGCGGAAGACTGGGGCAAAAAGCGGACGCACTTCTTGGAGGATGTGCCGGTACTTCTTGGGTCTAAGATTCACCAGAAGAGCATGGAGCTGGATGTGCAGTTTGCAAAGAAGCTTCGCTTGTCACCAGGAGAGATTCCGCGGGAGTGTGGATACTACTTTACTACGTGTACCATCTTGTACCTTCCGTGTACGCCGACGCGAAGCCGCAGGCGCGATCGGCTCGCGCTCGGTTTGCCCACGAAGCCCCACGAGTGGGGCGAGGTCCAAGGGCGGGGACCGGGGGTCGCCTGCCGGTCGCCAGCCGGTCTGGCCGGCACGGGTGATCCGGGTGGCGGTGGGTTCAGGTGAGCTGTGCCTCCATTTCTCAGAACATCACTGGAACCGGCACATACATCACCGATTTCGTAGGCTGAAGAACTCTTCTAGAGAAAAACCTCCGGTAAATGGCCTGAAGGAAGTTCCCCAAAGGATGGGCTGCCTTGTGATGCTGACGAAGCCAAGGCAATCTACAGATCTGGCCAAAACTTGGTGCCTTCTTCTCTGGGTGGCACTAAAGATGTTTACAGTACACACATCTGCGGTGGTTGAAAGGAGTTGAATTTTCCAGTTAGTTAGGCTAATCTTCCACAAGCAAATGCATTTGTTTGTGTTGAAGCCGGGCACACACTTCAATGTTTCATCAAGATCAGTCTTCTGTTTCTGCCACAACATGCCACAAGCAAACTCTTCCTGGAAGATTACCATGGAACCTGAACAGCCACTGTTCTGTTATTCTATTTTTTTGAGGAACCTGGTCTTTCAAAGCCTCCGACCTCGGGCGGTTCATCTCTGCGGTCTCGGGTTCTCCCAGGAGATCTTTTAGCTTTGTGCACCTGGACTCGAAAGATGTGGCGTGTTGTCTTTGACCCCTCCACCTGGCATCAGGCAACGACACGGAGCGAAATATGCTTCGTTGGAGCGCGCGAAATATGCGAGTGACGCTTCGTTGGAACGAAACGACGAAGTGCTCCCAAATCGGGGAGTGATGTGCATCGCATCAAGGAGGGGGTGATGACATTGATATACAAGGGGGGGGTGTTTCATTGGAGAATTCCAAGAGATAGAGAGATAACAGATAGATTTCCCAACACATGTCGTCCCTGTATCTATTTTTACATGTTAAAGAGGTCTTCTAACATTCAAATGACCTGCGTGTGCAGCAGAATTTCTATACATTTGGCATGAATCATGCATTTGTCGCATCTAATCTATCATTATATACTGTAATTGATAATAATGATTCCGATTCCGACTGCTGCACATGTTTTTTTTCTTCTTTTGTCTGGGGGTTCGCCTTTTGATGCCCAAGTATTCATGGAGCCTGACCCCTGTGATTAGTGGTCTACCACACCTGTCACGGCTGCAAGCTTTCTCTCTTTAAGAGTAACTAAGAGGTCTGGTCAGAAACAGGGAGAGGTCCTGAGGTCCTGCACCTCCAATCATAAACCTGGAGGAGCGGAAGAGAATCCTTTGATCCCCCCAACCATCCCGCCGAGCCCAAAGCCCGAAGCCCGAACCGAACGCCGGGTCTCTTTTCCGATGTGCTTCGTCTGCGGGTGACACGGCCGTTCCGAAGCGTTCATGCCGAAGCGTTCACGCCCAGTCCGGAGCGCGTCGCGGTGCCGGAGCCAGGTGTGCCCCAGGGAACCCGCTTTCGTGGTGGCTCCAAGATCGCCGATGGGTGAAGTCGATTTGGAGAAGATGAACGAGTGGATCAACCTGCCCGAGGACCGCAGCGACGAGTAGGGTTCGTGTTACCGTGACGAGTGGACCATGATACGTTAGCAGGTGGTGGGTCTGGTTGTTTTGTGTCGATCCAAAAATAATGAGGTAAATGTGAGGTGCTGAGGTGATCGAAGAAGTCTTGGGGCCATGGCATCACTCTGACGTGGGTTGCTGGGATTCGTGCTACTCCTGTCACAACAGGAGCTTGACTGAGCACCAACTCAGGATGATGTAGATATATGTCGTACATATTGTCAAAGCAGTCGCGTGTCGCATGTTCCGATTCGCACTTCTCTCAGGACGATCGTCCGCTGCCATTTCACTGTCAGGTGGGAGGGCAGGGTGGTTCTTGAGCCATCTCTCGCGGGTGTGGATCACCCAGTTGCAGGGCAACTTCGAGCCGGTGTGTGTGGAAAGAGCTGCGGACGTGGTTGGGCACAGGGTGCTTGGATAGAGTGTTTGGATCAGGGATCCTAGGCATTGCTTGTTGTTGAATTCACTTTCGGTTGGGTGTACCTCTTTGGATTGACCAGCCCCAACCGCCAGTCTCCAACACCAGTTGCAAACCCGGGGGGGTTTGTAATTGGTAGCGGAGCTACCTGGTTGGTCAAGACAGGGAGGAAATCTTCGATCTTGCATCACTTTGGGTCAACAGAACTTCACAAGTGTTCCGGGACATCAACAATTCTTGCAAAACGGACATTGATATCTTGACTTAGGACTGGATAGCGTGCTGCGTAAACATTGAGCAACAATTTTGCTTGGCTTAGAACTTGAAAGTCGTGTTGAGTTGGTTGCAAGTTGAGTTGATTGGACATTGGAAAACAGCGTGCATTGTCAACAACATTGTACATTGCTACTTGGTTGAGTTGATACATTGTACATTGCTGCTTGGTTGAGTTGATACATTGTACGTTGAGAAGCAGTTGTTGAACAGTTGATCCGGCAAAATGCCAGAAGGTGCAAGCACAACCACGCTTGACACGAGTGGCCAAGGAAACGCAGTTGTCGACTTTGATCCCGACATTCGATCCTGCCACAGACAACGTTGAGCAGTGGGCTCAGAAAATCGAGCTCTTGACCCATGTTTGGCCGGAAGGCAAACTGAATGAGTTGGCCACGAGAGGATCTGCTTTCGGAAAACTCCAGCTGCGACAGAAAGAACTGTTGGTTGGAACGAAAGAAGGCATTGCGAAGATCGTGCAGATTGTCGGTGGTCAGTTCGGTCGAGTGAACCTCGAGCAGAAGTTCGACCTGGTTGAGAAAGCATTGTTTCGATGTGTGCAGAAACCAGACGAAACGTCCGATTCGTTCCTGGCTCGCTGCGAAGTGGTTTGGACTGAGCTTCATCAAAAGAAGGTGAAATTGGAAGAGGTCCAGGCCTATATCATCCTCAGAGGCAGTCGCCTTGGATCTGAGGACAAAAAGCGTGTCTTGGTTGAATCAGGTGTTGAGACTCCAGGATCAGAACTGGAGATGTCGAAAGTTGCAGCCGCCATTAGGATGCTGGGGTCATCGTTTTTCCAGGAGTTCACTGCTGGAAAGAAAGAAAAGTCGATTAGGACTTATGATCACCATGCATTCGGAGCGGAGGAAGTCGAACAAGCTGGAGAAGAAGGACCTTGGGAGGAGGATCAGTTCGATGAAGAGGCATTGGAAACTCTAGCAGCTTTCGATGAAGACGCCTCCCTTGTGTTGCAATTTCAAGGAGCACTCCTCGACACCATCCAGGAGGATCAGGACCTCTCAGCCTTTTATGTGTCCTACCAAGATGCTCGCCGACGTCTCTTGGAGAAATCAAAGTCGAGAGGATTCTGGCCCATCAAAGGCAACAAAGGTAGCCGAAAAGGGAAAGGCAAAGGTTTCAAAGGTCGCTCGAAAGGACTTGCCCACCGAATCGCGAAATCGGCTTGTCGATTGTGCGGCCAGACCGGCCATTGGAAAGCAGAATGCCCTCAGAAGAAGACAGGGGCATCCGGATCTGAGTCAGGACAAGTTCCTACGTCGGTTGTCATTGATTTGGAAACCTCGCTTTTCGATATCCCTGAAGCCAATACCGAGCCTTTGAACGGGTATCGAGAGTGTTTTATGAGTTTTGGTATTCCAAGTCCATGTTTTCGTGAGAAATTGAAAACCCGACTCATGTACATCCCGGCGCTCAGGAAGAAGCTCGCTCAGCCGACCATTTTGGTCCCACACCGTGAGCCCGTGAAGCCTAGTCCGCCGGTTGCCGAATGGTCAGCAGACTCCGAAGTGAGTTGTTTCGCCTCGACCGGCACAGTAGGAGTCGGGGGCATCTCAAACAGTCATTGGAAGTCAACAAGTCCCCGAACTTTTGGAAAACCTACCTGAACATATCAGAAAGCAAGTAAAGAAAACAAAATGCAACCTGACATTTCGCTTCGGAAATCATCAAACGCTGTCCAGCTCGGTTGCATTGATTTTTCCCGTGCACACAACATGGTTCAGGGTCGCCATAGTCCCAGGCAAAACGCCGTTTTTGCTGTCCAACTCATTCTTGCGCACCATTCAAGCCGTGATAGATACCGAACAGGGTACCCTCTGGAGCAAGTATTTGGGGAATTTCTTAGAAACCACCAAATCATCTTCAGGACTCATGTTGCTTGATTCGAACCAACTTTGGACGCATGAGGTTGCCCTGTGCCAAGATCGTGTGCCTGAGCAGGGGTCCGACGTGACCCACAGCACAAACCGAGAGAACATTCCCGATGAGCCAAAACAGCTGCCGGCCGTCTCTCAGTCATCAAGTCAGACAGGGTCTCATCCTCATCAGTCTCAGGGAAGTGTGCGAAAGCTCATCAACCAATTCGAACAAAAGAATATCAATGTGCTTCCGTGTCAGCCATCAGTGCGATCTCAAACTCGGAAGCCATCTCCTTGCAAGCCAAGCGATCATGTCCTCCTTGAGCCAGAAGTTGAACACGTACATCCAGGGGGTGAAGAAGGAGGACGAGAAGGAAGAGCTCCAGAAAATCGAGCAGATGACTCTGCCTCAGCTCCAAGAGCTCAAGATATCGTTCGGCAAAGCAAAGCTGGGACAGTCGTACGAACAGGCATTTCGCGACCAATCCTGGACGAAGTGGTTCATCCAGACGTACGAGACAAGCCCCAAGCCGGAGCATCGCAAGTTCATCCGATTCGTCACGTTGAAGCTGGATGAAGAACCCATGCCATATGCCCCGAAAGCTCGTCCGATCCGCACCAAGATGGAGAGTCACCTCTTGAGCCCTTCTGCACAAGAGACCGGAAACATTCCAGCCGTGACCTCGGAGGAAATGGAAGATCCATGGGAGATTGCGGAGGACGACCACATCATGTGTACGACCGCCAGCACGAGACGGACCAACGTCTGAATCGCATCGAAAATGCATTGACTCTGACGGCCATCCTCAAGCACCTCGAGGGTCAGACATCACAGCCCTCGGAAGGTCCGCAGACCTGGGCCCAAGTCAAGCAAGAGCCACAGTGAGCTCAGAGATTGAACACATTTGTAACTTGAGCGAACTTAGTCAAAAGAGCAATCAAGAAGCATTCGCATTCGACTTTCAAAAGGACCATGAACAAACATATAATCGAAGGTGTCTGTACTGGACTCAGAAATTTCGCTCAGAAGTTCCAAAAGGTTCTGAAGGTGGTCAAACCAAAACAGCAACGATCGTTTCTGTTTGAAGTCATGTGTTCAAAAGAAAGTGAGCTCACCCGTCAAAGCTTGCAACAAGGGCTGATCACAAAAAGATTTGGGTATGCAGAAGGGGATCTAAGCACAGAAATAGGTCGCCGCAACCTCTTTTGCCATCTTGTTCGAGATAACCCCAAGCATGTGTGGATCAGTCCGACCTGTGGACCTTGGTGTCGATGGTCGACACTTAATATGAGCAAGAGTGACGAGCTTTGTTCGGCCATTTTGCAGAAACGGAAAGACCATGTTTGGCAAATCGCATTTGCAATCGTATTGTGCGAATATCAAGTTCAGCATTCTCAACACTTTCATTGTGAACAACGATCAGGGTCACACATGCTGAACATGCCCTGTTTCCAGCCGATTCTGCAAATGACAAAGCCGTGTACTTTTGACCTGTGCCGAGTGGGAGACCTGCGCCTGCCGTCGACGGGCATTCCAATTCGGAAGAGATTGTGTGTTTGCACCACGTCCGAGTCCCTTCAAGTGGCTTTGAACCATCGTCATTGTAAAAGGGATCATGAACATCACCCCATTGCAGGTTCCACGAATGTCAATGGTCAATCCATTCCGGTCTCAAGTTTCACTGAATTGTACCCTCGGAAATTCGCACGACAGATAGTACAAAGTCTCCGAAAAGAGGGATTAGGACCATGGGGTATTTTTGCTGAAGATGAAGAGCATCCCACAAAACGTCGAAGACTAGATCATAAAAGCCGACCATCAGAAATCCGTCTTCTCACGGAAGATCCGTCTTGGGATGACATCATGAAAGTCGCAGACGAGACCGCTCCAAGAGTGGGCATCCAGGTCCTCTCAGATGGACCCCTTGTGCAGGCGATTCAGCGAAAACATCCAAATCATCGCATCAATCACCTGGTCCTCTGTCGTGGCACGGATAGAATGGTAGGTCCTCATGTTAGGCTAGAACAAGGACAAGCACCTCTCAGGAAATTTGTTTGCATTCGTCGCAGGTTTGAAAGTGTCGAAGCAGAGGACCAGCGCTTCTCTGCTCGTCAAATGAGAAGACCATGTACGCCTGCCAGATGTGGCCTCACCATTTTTGCCAGAGCACTGCAATCCGAGGAATCACCCGCTTCAGATTGCCAGAAAAGGAAAGATCACCCAGGTGATCACACGGAAGAGGAACCCAAAAGCAAAGCACCCCGAAATTTCGATCTAGACAAAGCCGAGCCAGAACAAAAAGATCAAGTATCAGAAAGACAACTTCGAGAAGTAGTCGACCTGGTCTCAGAAAAACATGGTCCCAAGATGTTAGCATTAACCCCAGAAGAAAGAAGCTGGGTACTCAAAATTCACAAGAATATGGGTCACCCGGGGGTAGATAAGTTGAAGCTGTTCTGTCAACAAATGGGTTGTGAAGAACACATGATCAAAGCCATCGAAGACCTTCGATGTTCGACATGCCTCGAACTAAAAGGACCAGATATCGCCAAACCAAGCGCAATTCATGAACAAGTAGATTTTGGAGACCTCATCAGCATGGATGGCATCAAGTGGACCAACAAGACAGGAAAACAATTTTTCTTTTACCATTTCGTCGATCAGAGCACTACCTTCCATGTGGCACATGTGAGCATCAGCCATGGCACTCAAGATGCCATTCACGCCCTGATGCATGGTTGGATCAAATGGGCTGGACCACCTGGAACTCTCCTGGTGGATGCCGGTAGTGAGTTCTGCACGGAATCCTTCCACGTCTTCCTTCAAGAATATGACAGTAAGCTGAGAATGATCGCTCCCGAAGCCCATTGGCAGAACTCCCGAGTAGAAAGACATGGAGGTATTTTACAACACATGCTAGATAAAATGGACCATGAGAAAAGCATCAACACCGGCGAAGAACTTGAAATGGCATTGCATTTTGCAACACAGACTAAGAATAAATGGTCAAGACATCGAGGTTTTCCGCCCGAAGTACTAGTGTTTGGCAAGATGAGTAAATGCCCCGCATCCATCAGCAGTGAACCATCACAAGCTTCCCACTTGAAAGCTTTGCAGGAAACATCCGAAGGCATTCGATTCCGTGAACATCTTGCAGCTCGTGAACGAGCCCGAAAAGTTTTCAGTGAGGTCGACAATTCTCAAGCTCTTCGTAGGGCACTGGTTCAAAGGTCTCGACCACAAAGAACAGTGTACCATCCAGGGGATTGGATAATGGCTTGGCGGAAAGACTCACAATGGTTTGGACCCCTCAAAGTGGTATTGCAAGAAGACAAGAATGTGATCTGGGCTGTGCTGGGAAATCGTTTGTTTCGCATTGCACCCGAACATGCCAGACCATTGTCAGCCATGGAAGAACTCCGACATCAGAGCATCATTCGGGACACCAACATGGATAAAACACTAGAAAGCATTCGAGCCGGAAACACTCGTTTTGAAGAAATACCAAGAGGAACTCCAGATGTTTTGCCTGTAAGTCCAGAAGCACCATCTTCTAGAACAAGTGAACTACCAACCAATGAACAACCTGATCAAGAACCAGATCTTCCAGAAGAAAACGATCCATCACTTCCAGGAACCGAAAACGAATACACACCTACAGTTCCAGATGAGGAAACACAAATCGAAGCTCCAGAAAACATCCCTGTACCAGAAGATGATGAACTTTGGTGTGAAACCTTCAATCTTCAAGAAGATGAAATGTGGAAGTTCGAAGTCGAGATAAGCCGAGAAGATATTGACCAGTTCCGAAATTCACCGTCAGGATTCGAACATGCCTTCATTGTGTCCGCTGCCAAGAAACAGAAAACCGAAGTCAAGCTCTCAAACCTAACCAAAGAAGAACGTCAGCTGTTTGAGGAAGCAAAAAGCAAAGAAATTGAGAGCTGGCTGGACACCAAAACGGTATGTAAAATCCTCCGTCATCAGATTCCAACCGAAAACATTCTTCGCTGCCGCTGGGTCTTGACATGGAAAGACGCAGAAACAAACTCACATTTAGGAGCCGACACGAAACAGTCAAGTTCGAGAAAAGCCAAGGCCAGGCTAGTCATCCTTGGATACCAAGATCCCAGCCTCGAACACTTAGACCGTGATTCGCCCACACTCTCCAAATTGAGTAGAAACCTGTTGTTGCAAATGAGTGTTTCCATGAGGTGGACCATTGGCAGCTTTGATGTGAAAACTGCTTTCCTTCGGGGCAGTGTGGATGACACTCGTGTCATAGGCCTTGAACCGCCAGAGGAACTTCGCCAGAAACTTGGGTTGCGACCCAACGAAGTCTGCCGCCTTCTCAAAGGTGCATATGGTCTTGTGAACGCCCCACTGTTGTGGTACAAAGAATTATCAAGGGCTCTAGAAGAACTGGGATTCACGGTGTCGCCTTTTGCCCCCCTGTTGCTTCATCTTGTATGCAGAAGACAATTCTCCACAAGGTTTCATCGGTATTCATGTTGATGATGGTTTGTTCGCAGGAAATGAAGAGTTTCACCGACGAATCAATCTTCTCGAAAGCAAATACCCTTTTGGAAGTAGGAAAGAAAAGGATTTCGTATTCACAGGTCTCCATGTCCACCAAAAGGAAGACTTCTCCATAAGGGTTGATCAAACACAATATGTCAAAGACATAAGTCACATCAGCATTCCAAAAGAAAGGAGAAGCATGCCCGATGATCCAATCACTGAAGATGAAAGACAGAAACTCCGAGGAATCATCGGTTCTCTACAATATGCATCGGTAAACACACGACCAGATCTTGGTAGCCGACTAAGTCATCTCCAAAGTCGCATAAATTGTGGTCAGGTCAAAGATTTGATTGAATCAAACAAATTGTTACACGATGCCAAAGTCCACTCCCAAGTGGCAATTCGATACCAATACATTCCCCTGAAAGACATCCGACTCGTAGCATTCTCAGATGCTTCTTTTGCCTCTGAGAAAAATCTCTCAGCCCACCAGGGCATGATGATAATGACTGCACACCAGAACATAGGCAAGAATCTCAAAAGTGCAGTAAACCCAATAGTGTGGTCATCAAAGAAAATCCAAAAGGTAGCAGTAAGTACACCCTCAGCGGAGGCCATGGCACTGGCGGGAACGGTAGACCTCCTTGCTTGGTGCCGTTTGTACTGGGGATGGTTGCTCGATCGTTCATGCCAATGGAGGTTAGGTGATAAGACACTCCTCAAGCTTCCCCCTGCATTCTCTGCCTTAAAGGAAGAAGGTGACCTCGAAGATCCAAATCCAACTCTGACAGATAACTTGCAGAAACTACAGAAGATAGGCAAACCAGATTCTTTGATGGCAACAGATTGCAAAAGCCTATACGACCTCATCAGTCGTACTGCTCCACCAGCTTGTCAAGAATATAGAACATTGTTGCAGGCGCCTGATTCGAGAACATCTAGCAACAGGAGTATCCGTTAGATGGGTACCGTCCAACGCACAGATTGCAGACAGTCTCACGAAAATCATGGATAACACCAATCTCAGAGAAGTTCTCAATATCGGTAGGTATCAACTGAAGGACGAAGATGAGCTTCTAAAGCACCGCTCAGACCGCCGATCTCGATTGGCTTGGATCCGTAGCCACCAATCCCAACTAGCTGCTCCAGAGCTCACCAAAGTCTCTGAAAAAGGGAAAAGCCAAGACGTCCCTGACATAGACCAATCCTGCTCTCCCATTTAAGCCTTGAGAGAACAATTAAAACCAAAGTGCAAGAAGTGTGTTCCAAAACCGGCATACAGAAGTCTAAGTTGAGAAGACAATGTCTGACATTGTCCTAGGGAAACTTGGAAGTCCGTTTTGCTTAGATGGCACTTGTCTTGAGAAGTTCTAAAATAACATCTTGAGGAAAGACTGTACACAGTCTGAATAAGATCCAATGCAAAGGAACATGCTTGACAAACAAAAGAATAGAATGAATGTCAAAGCAGTCGCGTGTCGCATGTTCCGATTCGCACTTCTCTCAGGACGATCGTCCGCTGCCATTTCACTGTCAGGTGGGAGGGCAGGGTGGTTCTTGAGCCATCTCTCGCGGGTGTGGATCACCCAGTTGCAGGGCAACTTCGAGCCGGTGTGTGTGGAAAGAGCTGCGGACGTGGTTGGGCACAGGGTGCTTGGATAGAGTGTTTGGATCAGGGATCCTAGGCATTGCTTGTTGTTGAATTCACTTTCGGTTGGGTGTACCTCTTTGGATTGACCAGCCCCAACCGCCAGTCTCCAACACCAGTTGCAAACCCGGGGGGGTTTGTAAACATATATATATATAATATACTATATATATATAGAGAGAGAGGGAGAGAAGCCACTGCCACCCATCGAAGAACATTCAGCCAGGACTGTAGCGCGTGTGACCTCAAGCTGAAGGCGCCTGCGCCCCGCACACCCGTGCCCCGCGGTGCCGCGCCGCCTCTGCCGCGCCCAGCATGTGTGGCTCCCACGCCCGGGGTTGCGAGGGCGGGGCCCCTTCTTGCGCCGCAGGTGGGGTACGAAATGGGGAGTTGTAGACTTGAGGTCGAAATCCTTTTTCCAAGCACCTTTGGTGTAGACTTGAGGTCATTTCTCCAACACCCCCTTTTTGACCAGCTTGTGCTGGCTCTTGCGGAGAGGATGCTTTTGATTGCAAAAGCCGTCGGTTCGTCTCTTTCCTGCGGTGCTTCTCCGGTGGTTGGTGCGCGCGCCGACTTTCAGATGGGCCTCAAAACAGGAAGCAAAACGGACAACGCACCTGGATGTCACCAGATTTTCTCGCAATTTGTGGACACACGGATGTCTCTGCAGTGTCCCATTGGGATTTGAGGCATGTAGCTCTGCTATGAGGGAGTCGTATTGTAAACCCTTGATTTTCAACACACTCCCAGGATTCCAATGTCATCATGCGAGTAAAATTATCTTTCGGGGTATTTCAAAGAAACTAGTCATTCCAATTTCTCCTTGGATGGTTGATTTGTGAGTTTATCAAAACGACTGCAGCTGCCTTTGACTTCCAGATCCTGGAGCCCATGCTTGACTCATAACACCTGTTTGACCCAATGGTCGAGAAAAAGCACCCAACCTTTGACTCGCTTGTCCCAAAACCAACGTCGCAGGTCTTTGTTGACTTGGAGGCCGAGTTGTGGAGAGCTTTGAGGACCGGGAACGGAAGTCCGAGCTCCACGAACATCGGGAGCGTTGAAGTTTGCTCAATTTACGAGGATTTTTCGAGGGCTTGAGGGTTTGGAGCTCTGGAAGTTCGCAGGGTGACGTCCTTTTCAAGAGATTCGCTTGGCTCAGAAACGGGGGGCAACACACCCGGGCGTTTGTCCTGGCGGTCATTTTTCTGACGGCTTTCAAGGTTCAAGGTTTGAAGTTTCGGAGGATTCGTTTTGATCTGCTTGCAGATCGCAGGATGTTTCTTTTTGGTGACCCAGCCTGGACGCACGAATTTGACGTCTCCATGTCGAGGTATATACATCGATCTTGGCCACTATCAGTTGTGAAGCATGGAGACATATAGTCAGCCAATGTCAACCAGGTACCATGCAAAAGCAAACATGAACACCTGCGGTGGTTTTGGTAGATCTTCCAGCGCCTGCTTCTGCTTCATGTGTTAAGGAGCCTTCCAGCGGTTCTGCTGCTTCAGAGCTTCTGCCACCACCTGGATCGAGCCACCGATGAGCTCCGGCGACGCGGGAGCTGCTGTCGTGAAGTGGAGGATCCCTGTGCTGGCCTGGCGACCGCCTGGAAGTTCGTTAAGGAATCTGGGAGAATCAGTGGTCTTTCAGTGGATACTGAGAGTTTCCAAGTATCCAACTAGCTGTTGGCTTCAGCTGCGAGGATTGTGCTTGTTATTTTTCCACTCAAAAGGCACGAGATTTTCTAGCACACAGCGGTTTCAGCGTTTCCGAAGACAGGGTGGTTGTGAATATATATATATATATATATTTGGGTTAAGTCAGTGCTTCTAGAGCTGGGCCATTTGAGGAGATGGTCCTGGCTTTTTGGGGTCGTGAGTTCATGCACCTTTGTTAAGCTCTGGTGACTTGGGCGACTCAGCACAGGGTATATACTATATACCATCCCATTCGACCGTCCTTCGGCTCCAGGAAGCGGCTTTCGACATGAAGAAAAGCCAGCGATGCTTGAACTGCATGGCTTTGAGACTGCAGGGCAGTTGATGTTTTGGCATGTGGGCAAATGGTTGCGAACAAGCGCTCCTGAGACCCAACGAAAGGCACCTGCGAGTATGCCCCCACTTGGACGACCCAGCTGGCGAACCGGAGCCGGCAAGAGGTTCATGGAACACCTGGTGAACGGTCATATTACTATCCCTTCCCAACAGGTCAACCATTACATTCTACCAATTGGTCGGCAGAAAACCCGTGAGGTTGGCAGAGCCAGGGTTGAACTGCATCAGACTGTACTTGGCTGTTCAACGTCGGTGCCCATCCTCGTTGGTTTTCCGCTTCCTCGCCCCTTTCGCCGTTTTTTCTCCCCCGCCATAGCGCTTGCAAAGTGTGTCCCTAGTAAGCGCGATATACCGTTACACCGATACACTGATTGATACACCGATACACCGATTGAAGCAAATTGAGCTTCTGAAGCTCCGCTGTCACTTTGCTTTTTGCAGGCTCCGCAAGAAGCAAAATGAGCCTCCCAGCCACCAAACGGCTTAAAAGCATAACGGCGTAGACCCGCCACCAAACAGCAGAACGAGGTAAAAGCGTACCGGCGTACATACAGTAGCCGGACGACCAAACGGCGTAACGGCGTATGACTACACCGGACGACCAAACGGCATAAATTAGCCTAGGGCCTAAGTAATCACACTTAAGGACACACTTTGCAAGCACGCAGCCCCCACACCACCCCCCCCTCTCGGTTTGACCCGTTTCCACCGCGCACCTCCCCGAGGGCTTCGGTGGTTGGGTGAATTAGTCCTCAGCACGGCGCCGACCTGGACGTCTCTCTTTTCCTGCGCCAACGACAACGACGCGTCCTCCGCAGGCGGGAGCAGTGCGATAGTGGTGTGGTGGCTTGGTGGGGCTGGAGACGGGGCCACGCCTGTTTTTTTCGGAGATTGGTTGCTTGGGGACCTGACTGAAGAGCCAAATCTGGTGGCGAAATCCCGGATCCCTCGTTGGGAGTTGTGGGTCCAGGGGGTGTGGGGGAGTGAGCCTGATGAGTAGAAGTCGGCTTGAAGTGGCTCTTCCGCAACACCCTGCCTAGGGGGCCCGACCGGTGCGACCCAAGCGAGCTCTGGCGCTACCGCTCTGTGGGCAGCTGGGCGGTGTCAACTCGAACTGCCTGAGTGGTGGGGGCTCTTCACGGAGCCCGGCGGCTCGGCAGGCTCAGCAACGACGGCAAGCCGTCACCTGCAAGGAGCTTTGCTAGGTGCGCTGTGGCACTTGAGACAGGCACGGAGTGGTGGGGATTGGACCGCGCTCCAAGATGAGCTGGATGACCCGACATCGCCTGTGACTCATTCCAGCTGCTAGGTGGATTGGCAGCAGAAGCACTGCTGGTGGCGCCACTTGGCCCTTCTCAGTGGTGCAAAGCTGGGCGCTGAAGGTGCGGAGGAAGATGGAGAAGGTCAAGCGCGTGGAGAGGTGAGCGGGTTTTTGTGATGCCACGCCGAAGACCCCCCCAAAACGGCCAAGGCTGAACAGATCCCTGATAGAGGTGGTGGGATGCCAAGCACAGTGGGAGGTCACTCAAACAGCCAAGCGTCCTCCTATGTCGAACTTTTCTGGTACACACTTCCCATCAACATATTTTCGGGCACCCACAGACCCGTCTTTGAGGCTCAGTCCTGTCCTCGACTTGTGGGTTGCCAGAACCGATGTGTTGGAGGGGCCTTGAAACAGACCATGACCAGATCTCAGATCTCCATTGAATCTGCCAGGTCTGCCGGACCTCACGTCTCTGACTTGCTGGATCTCGCAAGAGTTGCAGGACAGGCTGATGCTTTCGAGTCGGTACTTCGAAGTGGTTTCGATTCTGAGAGGCCACGCTCAAAAAACCTGAGACTAGTGACTAGTGGGTACCAGGGGCGCATCAAAAACATATCAAATACCTGGGCTTTACTCAGAAAAAACATGGTCTTTGTGTGTGAAACCCTATTTTTCATGGGTTTGAGGTCGGCTGGTATACGGTGCGCCTGAAGAATAGCAAGTCCTCCAAATCCGGTGAAACTCTCATCCAGCCGTTGCTCATTCAACCTCCATGTTGATGCTTCGTTCCTCCAGAGACAGACCCTCCGAATGTCCCGCGTTCGGCAGACCACACCAGAGACCCCGCCCCCCCGCCCCCCCAATGGCTCGAAAATTTCCATCTGCTTCCACCGCCGCGCTACGCTCCGACGCTCCGGACGACGCCTAGGACGCCGGACGATGCCTTCGCGGCGGCGCGGCCGACGGCGGTGCGACGCCGGTCGGGGCGTGGGACGCGCGTCTGGCGGCGCTCGGCATGGCGGTGCTGAGGGCGCTGCTGGGACAGGCGCCGCGGGGTCGGGTGGGAGAGTCTGGAGTTCGTGTCGATCTACAGTCTGCTGTCCTGGACCCAGAATGAAGTCGAGCAAAGGTTGAAGTTCCAGATTCTGGTCTGTGTCATTTATCTGGTGTTTTCTATGACAGATGGTTTGGGGTGAGTGACGGTGAGTGGGTGCTGGGGTAGCCTAAGGTCCTTGAACGAGGCAGTTTTCTTTGCTGTTCAGGGAGGTCAGGACATGTAGGCCAAAAGGGTTTTGATCAAAGGCTCGTTCATATGTTGCACCTCATCCCTTTGTTGGGATGATTTCTCCTTTCTTCCAATTTTCTGTCAATTCTAGAAGTCCAGTCCTACTCCTTCCTTTCAATTCAGGTCACCACCTCGTCTCCATCGCTTCGCAACCCGGGGCGACCGAGGAGCTCTTCGATCGCTTCCCAAACTGGGGCGACGGTCACTTGTCGCGGCTGCTGGGGCGGCTCACGAGCAAAGCGTGGCTCTCCAGGTGGGGCGGCTCGAGAGCGCGAGCTTTTCCCAGGTCGAAATGGGTCAGTGGCATGGGGCCGCATGGGGGAGTGGAGTGGCAGCTGATCGGCATCAGTGAAGATTTTTAGGACACATTCCAAGGTGACCCCGGGTTTGTTCTTACTTTTCATGGATGCTTCATCTGAAGAAGTCACGAACAAATCGCTCATGGCCGTTGAAAATGGCCCCGACCGCGGGTTGACTGCAGCTATGCCTGGGTCCCCGTCATCCCGGACGTCCGTCCGCGCCGTCCGTCGAAAACCGCTTGTGACCAGACCGATCTGGGTGCCACCCGCTGAAAAAGGACCGGAGTAGATAGTTTGTCATCCTGGAGTAGACAGAAGATGGGCCAGGGAACATCCCAAAGCCAAGAGGATACTGGCCATGTGTCCATGTGTTCCGATCTTCTTTCTAGCTAGCACCTAGAGGTACCTCTGTTTTTGGAGCCAAAAGCGAAGGGTTCTAGGCACTGGAAGGATGGGCATGGTGGTTCAGGGCTCCCCAACGGTCACCCAGGAGGTAGAAAGTCTTCTTCGATGCCTTAGGCCTTGGTTGGCTTGTTGCCATCCTGGTTCCCACTGGCAACTCAGACGTTGGATCTCGAGTCAGGACCACTTTCACTCACAGTTGTTCATCGAAACCTTGGGGCATTTTTTTGGGGGGTTCATCCATCGAAACGTTGGGGTGGTACCCGCATAGATCAACCGAACATGGACAGTGAACGAACCACACCACAGGAGAGCTGAGAGACTCTTCGAAAAGGAGTTGCCCGGTGGCTGGGAGATGGACCTCTTGGATGATGAGGTGCCATGTTTGATTCAGGTCCTTCAAGGGGAGTCAGTGCTTCTCCCTTGGGAGCTGAAACATGGAGCATCCACAACCCTTTTGGATGGTTGCATTGATCCGATCCAAGGATGTATAGAAGGATCTTTTTTCACACGCTTGGTCGTGGTCTCATGGTCTTTGGTGGTCCTGTGATTGCAGCTTTTGGTGCGTGAGCAGGCCTGGTCCGTGAGGAAAGCGCTTTCCAGAGCCTCCGCCCAAATCGGGGAACCCGAGGCGAGCTCAGACTGCGACTCCGGCCTGCGGCTGTGCGCTTTGGCCGGCACCATACTGGTAGATGCTCACGGGCAAGTGATGTGTGACTGGGATGAAATGGAGCCAGGTTTACCATCGTTGTGCTCCCTTTTTCATGGACCGGTTTGGCGCTTGAGCCGATCGAAAAGGAACCCCCGTTCAACTGCGTTTTTCGGCTCAGCCGAGACATGGTCGTTTTGAGTCTGAGGTGTGAAGGAGGCCCTGCTGCCCTGGCTGTGGCCACCGGAGCACCTGCTGATGGCCTGGGCGATGTCCACTGGTGTTTGGGAGGAGGAGCATCAATCAGTTCTGACCAGTAGAAGCAGGGTTTTGACAGAGGATCCTTTTGCATGGGTGAAGCTCAATATCTACCTTCCCAAGATCATCTGACTCATTTGCGTTGTGTTTGATCGTCGAACTTGCTGTGTGTGGATGATAGGAGGAGCTGGGAGGATTCTATGTGATTCCTCATGACAGGCGCGAGGTTTGATGTGTTGCTCTGGATATCTTCAGATGGCAGCGGGTGATCCAAGCAAATGGCTTTGCCCAACAATTCGGATCAGATTTTCTGGAAAGTAGGGCATTGCCTTGTGGGCATCGTCATCAACTTCAAATTACTATGGAGACTATAGTCCTTCACCGTTCCCGCTTCGCCCGAACGGAGCTTCTTCCCGACCTTTTCCATCCCTTTCGCTTTCACCCAGAAGTGCCGCAGCACCGGGGATTGGTCTCTTAAAATCAAAAGCCCCACCAAGTTACAGTTACTATCTGTTACTATTATATATAGACTCATAGACCAAGCTCCCAACGGAGGTTGAAGGACCCTATGACTAACCCAATTAGATACCCAAGCCTCAGTCCTTTCTCAGGTCACAGGTCACAGGTCACATCTCTTGGTCCACCAAGCTCGAGCCTTCCCACGTTGAACCACCCGTCGCCGCATTCACCCACGGAAGACGGAGGCTGCGAGCGGAGACGAACGGAGACCGCGCGCGGAGGGCGAACGGTTCTGCAGGTCTGAGCTGGTGAACTGCAGCTGTTCCGCGCAGTTCGGGGAGTCCAGCACTCCAAACCTCATGGAGGAGAGTGAGGAGGAGCCCTTTGAGGTTCCCGCTTCTTCGAGTCGCTAGGCCGTGAAGAGGGGAGAACAGGTAGATTGCTGTACACGAAGAAGAAGAAGAAGAAGAAGAAGAAGAAGAAGAAGAAATAGGAAGACCTCCCTGGCACGGCTAGGCCGCATACCGGTAGACTGGTCTATTTTCATTCTTTCACAGGGGGTCGTTGCCAGGTCTCCCATGTCTTGAGCTACACATCCATTCTTCCTGACCAACCAACCCTGGACCCCAAAGGGAGGCTCTCCTTCTCTCCTCGTGCCACCCGTCCCGTCGACGATGACCACGACGACCTCGCCTTTGCACCCACGCCGTGGGACCGGCGGGACATGAGTCCATCGGCGAGCCGGTTTTTGACTTCCAATTGAAATTGAAGCGATACCGATACCATCTTGGGAGGGCCTTTTTCACCTTGTTTCCGAGGGTGGATGTCGGGGAAATGGTCGGGCATTTGTGCCGCTTCTTGAACCTACTCTTTCACCAACCAGGACGCTGAACAGAGCCAGACCCAGTTTGATTGGGATACATGTTCCTCTAGCAGGTCCGGCCTCCGGGTCCTTGGCCTCCGGTCCCTTGGTGGACTGTTGCCACTTAAGGACTCTTGGAGCCCTGGGCACCCGAGACTCAGTCCGAAGCGGACGTCCCGCCCGAAGCGGACCGCGCGCACGTCCCCGTTCCGGGCGCGCACCTGGAGGCGGGAGGAACGCGCAGCGAAGCCGGAGCTGGACTGGGTTGGCTCGGGGTTTGGGTTTAGACACGGGGAGAGGACGGTTTTTCTGCGGATGCAGAGCCTGAAATCCCAGTGGAGGATTTCTGCATGGATGTGTGTGGAGCTAAGATCCATATTCGCCAAGTACATGCAGACTCTGGGATGATATCATAATGCAATACATTTTCATAGGTGGTTTTACTGTATTCATCAAGAGTCCTACCCTTGTTCCAGCGCCTCGGAACTGCTATCAGCCCATTGGTCCTTCAATCTCCTGTCGTGACCCACAGACAGATTGTCTTTAAATCCTGCAATGTAGACTGTTGATGCATACCATCCCCCCCGGATTTCTCCAGTAGACTGTTGATGAATACTACAGTATCCCCCCTGGAGGATTGAAGATGTACAACCGGTCGAGACGGTTCTATGGATTAACTGATTAACCGTCTACCCTGTCGCCGCGAATCCGCGAATCATGGAAGTGGACTGTGGCCGAAAGACACCTTTTTCCTCTAGAAACAGGGGGTGAAGTTCACTTCCATGTTTGTTGGAGGGAGGTAATGAACTGATTCGATGGCAAAGTCACTGGCGTCACCTGGCATTGGGGAAAGAGGCACGGTTTTTGGAGTCGTGCTTTGGAATTTGGCAGTTCTTCCATCAACCGAGCCGGCTGCAACGCACCAAGTGGCGTTGTTCGCCTGACCGGAAGACAAGCTACTACATACTTGAGCCAAGCTACTAAACTCCGAAGACATCCCAAAAGCATGTGAAAGAATGGTTCAAAGTCCCATTGCTCGGCGTCCGTTGGTTGGGGATGAAACCAGATAAATCCCACGTTTGTGATCCATGCTAAGAAAAAAAGGGCCTCACTAGAATGCTCTTGTGCTTAGAACGCTTGCTTGCCATTGCATGATAATGCGCCGTAGGCCTTCTACCAGCGCTTCCGGTCAGCGATGTTGGACGCGTATTTTCTGCAGAAGAAGCAGGTGAAGGCCGGATGGATGGAGAAACGGCATCCGTTCCGGTCGTCGGCATCGAAGTGGGTCCGGTGGTCGCACGTGCAGCGCGGGAACTTCCGCCACACGCGGGGAGGGCGAAGTCCGTTAGACCCCCAAAACACGGAGGTCTGGAGGTTTCTGTTCGAAGGTCTGCCGACCCCTTTTAGGGGGAATTGGAACTACCTTCCCTCGGAAGGTCATGAAGATGGAACATGGAAATCCCAGCTGCCTGTCCTCCATATTACAGTATATATATATATATTATCTCTGACATCTCTGACTCTCCATTTCTCTGGAGCTCGGGTCTCCCGCTTCCATGTCTTGTCCATTCCAGGTGATGAAGGATGGCCGCTGGGTGACCTCCTACCTCCGCTTCCACCCCCAAAAGCAGCGGCCTCTCGGCTGCGCTCGGTGACTCGACGGGCCCGGCCACACTGGCCAGCAAAGGGGAGCTTTCCACCCGAGCCGATCCGGTCGATTCGGGACCACCCTACACTGCTTAGAGGTCACCATTGGACACCCATTGGAAGTGCTAGGAAGTTCCATGTGATTTTGGGAGATCTGGAGATCTTCGTGGCTTTTCTGACGCTGACGGAGTGGCGTGGGTTTTTCTTCGCTGAGAGTGACACCGAAAGTGGTGAAGTGAAGGCCGTGCAAGCCTTCGGGCCCCGCTGAGCGGTGTTAGGCCAGTTCTGATATTTTTGGGTGGCTCCAAGCCCCAGTGTTCCGCATGGAGAGCCATAAATAAAGATCCAGAAGTTGGCCAGTCTCAAAGACACTCTGAGAGACGGTCAAGACATAAAACCACCTGGGAAGGGTTTGTAGCTTCTGTTGGTCTTTTGTCTCCTCCAAATCCACTGAAATCAAGATCAACGGCTCAGACCCTCCCTTTCACCCGCTCGACCCTCCCCGTGCAGCAGCGAGGTTCGTGCTGCCCGATGATGATGAGCCCATCAGTGCCAGTGAGGTGCGGTTTGAGGAGGCCGTCAGCGAGGTGTGGAAGACCCAGCAGAGGCGGTTCCCGGTGGGCTTCACATTCTTTTTAGGCTTCCAAGAATATCTGGCCGTCCCCGATCCAGGTTGAAGATCCCACGAGGGAGGGGTGCTCAAAATGTTTTTCACCGGGTAGAGAAAGCAGTCCAAGGTTTGGAGATTTTACCTGGTGTGCACAGGGCTCCGTCGTTGTGAATTTGAGGTGGAGGCGGCCACACCTTCAAGAAGCTTTGGGTTTTGGAACTTAGACATATACTCCAAAACCACCAAAGGATCACCCTTGAAGTTGAAGAAACTAACACGAAGTCATGCCCCGTACTTCAGGGGTCTTAAAGTTCATAGCATTTCTTGAACCCAAGACTCCTCCAAATCTTCCGCAACGCCTAACGCCTATGGGCATTTTGAACATCTCTGAAGCTCCGAATCCTTTTCCACCCCCCCGGACCATCGCCCCCCCCCCGGGTCATAGCTCGAAGTAAAAGAAAGAAGCACCGCCACCCGCCACCACCGCCCCAGCGTCGCCAACCACCTGGTTCCACCGCCAGGAGCCGGCAAAGAGCCTGGACTTCCGTGCGGAGATGAGCGTGGGCGGCCCGCGCGGACAGACGCTCCTGGCGCTCGGCGTGGAGCGCAGCGCGCGGCAGCCGCGCTTCCATCGGATGCTAGCGCCAAAGCAGCGGGGAAGGGGTGGGGAACTTTGAAGAGGTGAGTGGTGCCAGTTGGTAAAGCACGGAGCGGAAGTCTGGTGAGGATGGTTTGTGAATCAATCTGCTCCTGTATGTGTCTTGGAATTTGCCTAAAGATACGGGACAGCCACCCCCCCACTTGATTTGACTATGAAAGTTCAACACCCTTGGCAATCGCTGGTTGTCTCTTCATTCATCAACTTTCTCATTCTTTCGACAAGGGTTTCCGGCCCAGGCATGAGAGTATGTTGAGAATCCGGCACGAGAGTTCTTTCCTGAGTTTTGCAAAATGAAACCCAAGAGGCACAATGGATTTCAACCCGACCGAACACACCAGTGGCTGCCACCGGCCTTTTGGTGAGTCTAGTCCCCTCTCGGCTTCTCCGAAGAGTTCTTGGAAGCTAGGGGGAGTTTGGGCCCTTTTCTTGTTCCCTTTTTTTGGTTGCCACGCAGCGCTATGGAAGCCAAATGGCTTCCAAAAAGCAGCGGAGCTCTCTCGCCAGCCGATCGGTGCCGGCACCCCCAGCCGACCGCGAACGCGCGACTCTCGCTCGGCTCGCCGCTCGCTGCCCAGGAAGTATGGCAGCGATCGCTTCTTGCGGGTTCGATGGAAGCAAGAGAGCCCTGTTCCGCGCGGTGTTCGGGCCGGTTGCGTGGTTTGGAGCGCGGTGTTCGGGCCGGTGGATTGGAGCGCGGTGAACGGAGCATCTAACAGTTTTGGGGCCCATGGGAAGGGAAGGTGAACGGTCGAATTCACATTGCCGGGGGTGCGAAAGGCGAGATGCTGAAGATTTCTGTGAGGAATCCCTAGGCATGGGCGAGTCCCAGAGTTGGGCCCTGGATCTTTCAACCTGCGCAACATGTCGCTTTTTCCGTCCATAAAGCCAGGTTCAGGTGCGGCAGGGAGGAAGATCCCTTTCTGTTTTGCCGGCTGCAGTTTTTGGCAGACAGCGCCCCCTTCTCTTCGCCTCGCCATGTTCATCTCCGAACATCGGCAAATGCTGCGACAGATGTTCCGTGGATGATGCGGCTTATGAGATCGAGAGCGAGAGCATCCAAAAATCATTTTCCAGCACCACCCAGTTCGGGTGATTATTGGATGGACCATACATAAGTCAGCAAGGTCTATAAACTGTGTACTGAACCATTTGAAACTGGGTGGTGCTGGTTCGAAGCCTTTGGATGAGTTGCTCAGAGTATGACTCTAATGGTGCTGGGTCGCTGAAGTCAATCTGCTGATGTCTTCCAAAATAATTAGAGATCCACCATGTGTCGTTGAAGTCCATGAAGCGCCGAAAACATGTCCCTGCAACATAGCTCCATGAGTTCTGGGCATGATGGTAAGGAACCTCTATGTAGATGGGTGCTTGGTAGCGAATGAAAAGAACGAACTTGAAGGAACTCTCTTCCAGCAGTTCCAAAGGGATGATTTTTTTGGTGACCCATCCAGTGCGTAGATGTGACAGTGGTTCCCCCCTTTGGCCCCGCTCCAAGAGTCATCCTGAGATGGAACTGCTGGTGGGAATCCCTTCATGAGCCAATCATTTTGCTTTGGTGTGAAAGTCACGTCCATCCATCCTCCATCCCCATGTCGGACCCAGCTATAGCCCAGCCCAGCCCAGCTGGCTAGATGGGTCAAAACCAGAGAGCTTGGTTGACAGAAGGTGAACGGAAAAACACCCAGGGAGGACCAGGGCGAAACCGGCCGTTCCTTCTCACCCTGAGGAATGGGGAGAGCAGCTGCAGTGCTCAACAGCTGAAGCAGTGGCTCAGGGGCTTTGCATGGCTCGGTCGGTGGTGGGAGCTCTTGCGCCCCAACACCAAGCAGCTCGGCATTTCTGGAGATCTCATCAGTTCTGTGAGGTTTGAAAGCCAAACTCAGTGAGCTCAGATCTTTGGTGTGTCTGACGGGGTTGGTTTCTGGGTGAAGGAGGGCCTCCTTCTCACCTGCTACCCACCCCGTCTCACCAACAGACCCAACCCCCGGAAACGTGCAGGGTTTTCCTGCCCGGTCCGGGGAGCGATCGACTCGGTGACACCGCAAAGCGCGATCGACGGGCTGGGAGTGAAGAAGGTCCAAGCTGTAGAAGGTCCAAGTCTTCTCATTTGAAGAAGCCCAGTCGCGCCATCCGCAGTCGAAGCCAGTTCGCTAGCCAGTTGGTCTCTGGTGCAATCGATGATTGGTGCCAGGGGGGCACAGCGACGTTGTGATAGCGCCGTTTTCAATAATGTAGACTCTTGATTAATAACCCCTCCATATGAAGAGGATTTTGCACTTAGGCATCTTGGCCCAAAGCCATTTGCCTTAGGGCACGCCGGGTTCCCGCGGCTCTGCTGCCTGTCTCCCGACAGGGGTGGAGCGTCCACCAAGGCCGTTGGCCGACTCGCCTGTGAGCTTTGTTGTGCCTCACGACCGTTTGCGCCATGGCTGGATCTTTTGACCATTTGCTGCAGGGCGCTGAGCACCTGGAGGACCCTTGGAGAGGCCGATTGATTTCCTTTTTGGAGGCTCATCGTTCAGCTGGTCACCTGCTGCATGTGGGTGATAGGATCCTCCTTGTTGGAAAGGTCGAAGCTGTGACAGATGCGGTGATTGAGATTGCACCTCTGGAATTTTGTCCGGGCCGTGGATTTGCTGAACCTACGGTGGGACAAAGCAAGATTCGAATCTATGTGCCTGGGCTGAGCCGGAGATCAGCTTTGCCCGTTGTGGATGATGAGATTGTTTGCCATGGGAAACAAATCCGCACAGAGTGTTGGGATGCTCTTGCATTGGCGGAGGACACCATCATTATTCCCCGTGCTCATTTCAAGCCGCATGAACCTTTTCATGTGCTGCACTTATTTGCAGGAGGATTCGGTGGCTGGTCCCGGGCTATGCACTGGCTTGCCAGAGAGGTTCCGCACATCAGCATTGCCACCGAGCTTTTCGTGGACAACGATGACAAGGTGATGGATGTGTGGTCCTACCAGACAGGATTGCGATACCACAAAGGCAAATCAGTGAGCGCTGGACAGGTGAACTTAGCTGCCAAAGCTGGCCTGTGTACGAGCGTTGATGATCCCACGATCCTGCATTGTTGGAAATGTGCAAGCAACTCCGTTGCAACCGCTTCACCACCCTGCATTTCGTGGTCGCAAGGCGGCAAACGCCAGGGCTTGAGCTGTTCCAGCGGTTTCGCGATGGCTGAAACAGTCATGCTTGCTGAAGTGCACCAACCACTTCTCCTGTTTTTGGAGTGTGCAGATACCACAGTCTCACACGAGCATTTCCCCTTAGTGGAGAACATGTTGCATCTTATTGGGTACCGTAAGGTTTGGCACCAAGTTGTTGCAATGCACCACTTGTCCAATAACTCTCGCTCCAGATGGCTTGCAGTTTGGGCTCGTGTGGATTTAGCCCTTCGACCCCATGAAGCAAACTTCGATCTTCGGGCACCGCCATTGGTAAAATGGAATGATCCATCCAATGAATTTTGGACCCCAGAATCTTTCCACTGCCAGCTTCAACTGTCAGCGGAGGCACTTTCGAAATACGGAAACCCAGGGTTACTCCCACCTGCCAAACGTGCCAGGACCAATGCTGAGACCTCCACTCAGGAGACGCTTCAACTGAGGCTTGCTGACACCACTCAGCCCTTGCCGACCTTGTGCAGTTCATACACCAGGCAACACCTTTTGCAAGCTGAACATGTCATGGCCAAGGGCATTTTTGCTTCGTTGCAGATCGTTGCCGATAAAGTGTGCTTCTTATGCCCTACACGGTTTGTCCCACTGTTCGGCACTACAGACAAGATTGTACTTCCGAGTGATGCATCCTTTGCATTCCATATCCTTGGAAACGCCATCACTCAATCACAGGCGACCTTGTGCCTTGCTGTTGGGTTTCAAGCGCTCCTTGCTGAGGACCTGGCACCAGTACAACTTGTTCAAAAGGCGTGGGAACAGCGTCTCACAAGTCAGAATGCCCTTGTGCAAGTCTTCGAACAGTGGCTCACCATCAGCAGGGTCGAGGACATTGCTGCCTGCATGGTACCAAGGACCTTGCCCTTGTCCTTTGATGGTCCTTTGATTTCGCTAGAGATTGAACACTGCCACAACCAGATGACATGGCAAGCAAAAGTCCCACCCAAGACTTCCTTGTCCACCGCTGTCATTCTTACGATGTTCACCAAAGGAATCATGCCTGAAGCCTTTCGCTTTCGCACTAAGGACCACATGCTGCTCAGTGACATTACACTGAAGGATGCTTTCGCTGTCACTCCGCAGGTCCTATGTTTCATTTGGGACCGTCCCCTGGTTTCTTTTCGGCCTGTCTCCGCGTGCCCACATGAGAGTTCTGCATCAGATGCTGTGGTGTCTCCGACTTTGCCCTTCACTGTGCCAGGCGAGGATTCACAACCCATCACGATTGAGACTTCACCACCGTTTCAACCTGCTCCTGAGGCCTTCCAGGCACTGCTGCGTTTTCTTGAGTTCAACACTCATTGGCACCCCGCCACCAATCGATCCAAGCAATTGGTCTCCCTCCTTTGGGAAGCTCCACCTGGCGTGCTTACCGTCCAGCTTGACACCATTGTCCCGGCTGCGGACCTCCAAGAGCAACTTGCCACCCACTTTGGTGCTGGCACCTACACCGTGTTCCAGAGCCCATTCGCTCTCCCAAAGATTGCACCAGGACCTCTCTTCACTGTGAGGCTCCGCAATCATCCCAATGATGCGCTGGTTGTTTTCCAGAAACTCCAAACCGAAGTCTGGGTTCGAGTTGCAGCAGTCCCCAAGCAGATCCCACATGACACCTGCATCATCGCTGGTGACGGGAACTACACCATTTGCAGTCACAACAACAGGCCATGCTCTGTGGGACCACTCCACATTGCCAATGGTGATCTCTTGATCATTGAGCCTACTCCGACCATCCACGCTGGTGGCCACCATCGTTGGACGGAGAGACCAGAAAGCCTCCCACGTGGGGCCAACTTCACTGACAGGATCGCCTTTGCGATCAACACACATGGGTGGGTTGCATCGGACGAACTCCACTCCGCCATGACATACCTGACCAGGCACTTCCCCGAGACCATTGCTGAGTTCAACCTCCTGCGATGGAACTCTGACGGACACGAATTTGATGATGAGCTCTACGGAGAACCCAGATTTGCAAGTGCAGGCAGAACGGTCACGGCAATTCTTGTCGACAATCACTGGGCCTCCATTGAAGTCAACCGGATTGGCAATCTCATTCAGGTCCACGCTTTCGGGCTAACTCCACCGCTCGCCAATCGAGCCATCATCATCATGTGCCGCCTCCTTGATATCGCTCCACACCGTGCCCAGCAACACATCCATGCAGGGCTACCACCAGAACATCTCTGCGGCTGGTTCTTGCTCTTTCGCTACTACAGAATATGCCGCATCCATGATACGCTTCCCAGCTCTGTTGAGCTCTTCAACGAGCTGCCGCCAACCCGAAGAGCCGAAATCAGGGAGGCTTGGGAATCCGGCCAAGAAGACTGGAGAAGAGCGGGCGCCAATGATGGCCTACTCCTCTTTGCAACCAACTTGAGGACACACTTCCTCACACATCTCGCTGCCACGGCCACCCAGACCTCGTCGGTCGTGCCGGTACCATTATCAGTCCAATTCCGAGCCCAGACCTTGACCCCTGAGACGCAACCGCCAACGTCTCAGCCACCTCCCCCCGGAGGATCCAGCACCACTCGAAGCAACACTGGGATCAACAGAACAACCGGAACCAGAACCTGTTCGGCATGACCCTGTCCACCACAGACTCCTTGAATGCCTTCAGCAGCCTGGCTGGCTTTCTTCGGATGTGCTTGATCATGCCCTGGACTTGCTTCGGTGGCAGTTCCCACAGGTCTGCTTCTGCCCGCCTGCTGTTTGGAGACCTGAGTTGCTTCAGGTATCTTACCTCGCAGGCTTGGAATGCCTTCCTGAGACTTTCAGCAACCTCATTGTGTTCATTCTGTGGCAGGAGCATTGGATTGTGTGTGAAGTGACTGTTCATGCGTGGGAAGCCTTCGTCCAAACCATTGGACCCATCGAGCTCATGCCTGACCTTACCAGCATTGTTGCTGCAGTGTGCATGCTGTTTCAAATCCAGGATGTTGTCCTCAACACTGCCACCACTCACTTTCGTGCCTTGCCTGGTTTGTACGGATGGACTTTGCTTTGGACTTTGTTCCAACGATTCCAAACGCGACCCTCTCAGGCATCACAACCACTGCTTGCTGCTTTGAGGGCGCACCCTCACTATGAGCTTATCCAACAGATCCAGTTGCGTGACCATGCTGTCTGGGAAAATGCTGAACCGGCGTTGCTCGAGTTTGCCTCAGCTATCCAACTTGAGTTCATGACGCGCATCATCCAGAATCGCGTCCCCTCCGAGCGAGCAAGAGGTGGAGCTCTTACGGATGTCTCTTCTAGCAGTGCTCCTGTTACCATCGGCAGCCACCCTGTCAGTGCTTTGCCTGCCTCTCGTGTCTTTGATCGGCTTCAGCTGTTCGACACGCAGCCAGGATGGCTTTTCTCTGACACTGCTGACTACTTGCTCGATTTCCTGCGGCAACATGATCCGGATACTGCGTACCTTCCTCCCATGCAATGGACTTTTGAAGGTGGTGCCACTACCTTCAACGACTTGCAGACCTCCGTCCATTCATATCAGAAGATCATTGGCCTTGTTTTGTGGAACACACATTGGATTTTGTGTGAAGTGCAATCCACTGTTTGTGCGCAGTGGATCTTCCTTACCGGCCCTGCTGAACTTCGACCGCATTCGATTGCCTGTGCAACAGCCATTT